ACCGCGGTTTTGGAGGTATTGACATATTGCGCTAGAATCGCGGTTCTGTTGATTTCAAGATCTGATTTTTACCACGCTTTTGTTTCCTTTCAAATTCGATTTATTCGGGCGATTGTTCTGCCATTTGAGCAACACTGGTAGCTACACCTGCAGGAAAAATAAAACCCAATCGGAAAGGGATGCGACTCGGGAGGCATCAACCCTAAAAACAATGCCCTTTCCCGTGTTTAGGGTTGATCCCTCCCTGAAATGAGTCCAGGTCCCTAGGGGTTTTATTTTTTTAATGCATGCCCTAACAGTTTCCGGCAGCAATATAAATATTACTCTCATTCCAACGATTAGTTCTGTCGGAATTATCGTGCACATTCAACGGAAAATAGCTGTCTACAGAAATCGTTGTTAGGCGCCAAACAAAGCGCGGTAAGAATAGATTGAAACGAAATTGAAAACGTTTTCGAATGTTGCACGTATTGCTTCCTTTTTGTGCTGCGTCAGCTGTCACACAGTGTTTTGAGTGGCGGTACCAGACAGATTTGCGCAGTGGAACTGGGGTATCGACGGTTTTGCATACAATCGAATAGGGTTACCAGACTGTTTTGCATGCCTGTGATGTTGGCCCGGCTCCGTCGACCGAATTCCGCTGGGCTCTTCAGATCCGATCGACAATCGACCCCACAATCCCTAGTGCACTCTGCTTTTCTTGGCTAGGGCGTGTCCCATACGGCGCGGCAAAACCAAGCCTCAGTCCGTACTCTGGATATCAGTTCAGGCCCTGTAACGAGCTGGAATTCGCAGAAACCAGGGTCACACGACACTTAACTTTTCGCTTATCCTTCGTTGATCTTGGCGAGAGTCTTGCGTCGTTACCTGGACATCCAGTTCAGGCCCTGTAACGAGCTTCTAGGGTCACACTACATTTGTCGTTTCGCTCATTCTTCGTTGATCTTCGCGAGTCTCTTGCGATGACGTACACTGATTGGCTCGGGTGGAGGAAACCGAAATCGTCCCCAGGTCTACTGTTCCCCATCTCCCATGCTGGTGCTTGAATTTAGGAGGCTCCTAAAGTAGGTACACGTAGCAGAATCGGCAGTAGTAGGCGAAAGCGACTCCACAAAAGCCTTCCTAGTGCACCGGAGAAAAATGCTACGCCTACCTCACTTGTTTCAATCGATCACCCGCGCTCGTCGCTCTTCTGCGGCCGTCGCTCTTTCGCTCTCGTCGCTCTTTCGCTCTCGTCGCTCATCCGCGGCCGTCGCTCATTCGCTCTTGTCGCTCATCCGCTCTCGTCGCTCATTCGCTCTCGTCGTTCATTTTCTCTCGTCGCTCATCCGCGCACATCCCCCATCCGCGCCCGTCGCTCATCCGCACACATCCCCCATCGGCGCTCGTCGCTCATCTGCCCTCACCCCCATCGCTCACATCACCCCATTCTGTGACACTCACTCTCACATCACCCATCTCATCACGGCTCTCACGCTCCAAAGCGGCATACAAACCCGCTTCACTCACACTCCCTTCGTTCAAGCTCGTTAGCCATGCGATATAGACTAAAATGGCGAGACGGACTCAAGCTCACTTCGCTCATTCGAAATAGACTAATAGAACGCGTCACTCCGCGAAATAGACTCGCAATCGCGCGCCCGTCTCGTCGCCCATCCGCACTTGTCATTCAGATCCCGTTCTCACTCTCCCTGTACCTTCCTCTCGTTTTGACGCGCCTCAAAACTCTTCGCCCATCCGCACTTGTCAATCAAATCCTTTTATTCACCATCCCTTTTCCTTTCTCTCTCTCGTCGCTCGAGCTCAGTTGACGTCATTCCCTCAGTACCATGTGTGCTCTACGTATTTCTGTCGACATTGTGTTTACTAAGTCTTTCCACCGAACAAATTCGAGAATCTCTCTCGTCACTCACACTCCCCCGTCATCCCCCTCTTTTCTCGTCACTCACACTCCCCCGTCATCCCCCTCTTTCTCGTCGCTCACACTCCCCCGTCACCCTCCTCGTTCCTTGCACTTACCTCCCATCCCCCCTTTACCCTTCTCATTCCCCGATTTTACTTCCTTCCATCCCCCCATCTAATCCCCCTCGTTCCCCGCTCTTGCCTCCTTCCATCCCCCCATGTTACCTTTCTCGTCCCCGCACTACCTCCTGCCACCCCCCCACCTTACCCACTCCTTCCCCGCGCATATACCTCCATCCATCCCCTTCTCACTCTTGTTCTCCCCACCTCTCTCCATCCCATCATCTTACCCCTCTCGTTTTCCTAAACGTATCTCCTTCCTCTCCCCCCCGCCTTTCCACGCGTCCCCCTTTTATTCCGCTACGTAACACCCTACACCCCCCCACTAAACGCCCTCCACTTACGATCCGAACTCACCACCCTCCTTCCCAGCAAAGTGCCAAGCTCTCACGGTCCATCCTTCCCCCTCTTCGTCTCTCCTCCCTTCTCCCCCCACATCTCTCCTCCCGTCTCCGTTCGCATCTCTCCTCCCATATACCTCAGCGTCTCTCCTCCCTTCCCCCCTACTAACCCTCCCACCCTCCACTTACCACCCTCCCTACCTCCTCGTTTTTCTCCCACTCTCTCTCCTCCCTCCCTGCATTTCTTCTCCATGCCCTTTTTAGACTTTATCCTGCTCTCCTATCTCCCACCCTCCCAATCCCCACTGTCCTAATGCAGGGTACAGCAAGGGGGGTCGGGATGTGGAAAGGGGAGGGTAGGAGGAGATGAGGAAGGAAGCAGTAATGGGGAGGGGCTGACTATTGTTGAGATAGGGTTTAAAGGGATGAAGAGCAAATTGAGGTTTTGCAGGCGTTTGTGTTGTTGAAAGTCAGGAGCCTCGTAAGAAAAAGAAGACGACACATAAAGACTTTTCTGAATGTGGTGGTGTCAGAAGAAAGTAAGGATGCCCTTATCTTGTATCAATTGATGTGCAGCGGTCAGTATGCTTTGATGACCATTTAGGCATGCACTCTAAAATGTTGTGACCCATAAGCACAAAAATGATACATGCACGTCCTGTACAGGAGACTGCATCCTGCCAGATTCTCCCGCGCCCACAAGTGAGCGCTGTGTTGACAAAATCTGAACCAGAAGGGTGTGGAGCAGCACCCCCTTCCACCCCCCATTGGTTCGTTATCGCCTTCCCCAGATTTCCCATCGCACGAACCACCGACCCGGACGTGGGGCTCCGTCCCGTACGTACACACGATACGCATTGAATCGCCTAAACATTGATAGACATGGCACGTACTGTAACCAGTAGGAGCAGCTGTCGACCGCCATGAGCAAGGCTTTACACACACACACGACAAAACACTCAGTTTCGTGACGAGGAATGTAACCCCGATTTTCCAATTAAATCACTCTGGCTAACACCGAACGGCCATTTTCAGGTGCATGCAGCTTAGTCGAGGCGCGTTATTCAGGTGCATGCCAGGTTGCGTACACTTTTCTCAGGTTAAACAATTTCTCCCGTAAATGAATACGCAGTTCAAGATTCGATAAAAATTGACACAAAAGGTCTGAAATAGATAAAATTTCGGAATACGCAAATCGGAATCGGGATGATTGGCTTTCGATGCTGCATTTTCTGACGTAACTCAGTGCAATGATTGCATTTCTGCCCAGTTTCTACGCAATTTTTTGCTTCGCACCAAATCTTTTTGAACGGATTGTAATGCTAAATCGTTTGTACTGTTGGCGCAGGTGGCGGACGCTTCGCGGGTCAAATCAGCAAACTCTAGTGGGACGTGCATTGCTTGAAAAGGGTAGTCCGAAACACGATAAATATGCCCGAGTGTTAAGAGTGAGTTACCCCTACCGCTATTAAGGATATATCGTATGTTACATGTATATTTAATGCCACGTAATTAAGGCCGTTGAATACCACCTATTTCAATATGCACGTACGGCAAACTTAGTTTGGTAGAGGCAAAATATACAAACATTCGCGAAGGGTTTGCTGATTTGCGTCCGTCATCTGCGTCAAAAGTACAACAGATCTAGCATTAGATTCGTTCGAAATGAGTTGGTGCAAAGCAGAAATTTGCGTATAAATTGGACAAAATGCAATCATTGCACTGAGTTACGTCAGAAAATGCAGCATCGAGAGCCAACCATTCCGATTCCAATTTGCGTAGCCCGAAATTGCATCTATTTCAGACCTTTTGTGCCAATTTTAATCGAATCTTGAACTGCGTGTTAATTTACGAGAGACATTTTTTAACCTGAGAAAAGTGTAAGCAACCTGGCATGCACCTGAATAACGCGCCTCGACTAAGCTGCATGCACCTGAAAATGGCCGAACACCGAAACAGGGAACTGTACTTGAAATTGTGAACTCACTACACCTAGCCCGCGCCAAATTCACTAGGGCCATTTTCACCCCCTTGTGTAATTATTTCTGATTTACCCGATATTAAAGAGCTGTTTTAAATGCTTTCGTTTTAAAGAGGGTACGTTTCAGTTATCTCAGACGAGTTAGAGGGGATTAAAAACAGGTCGCAATAAACTATGGTCGAGTCGCCGTGGTAATAGTGCGGTTGTTTTAAATATCTCGACACTTGGCTGAGTGGTTTGTAGCCTTCAAATTTTGGGAGTTTAGTGGTCAATGCCAAAATCGGGTTCAGGGTGCTTGCCGAAACAAGTTGCAGGGCGTGAAATTACCGCCGGCTAGGTGTATTTCCTCAATGCCCATAAAAACCTTGGCTGCCACAAGTCGCAATGTAAGATGCAGAAATTACTTGTAACGAACATCACGTGTGCAAGCAACTGTTCAGAGCTCCGTCACCGGTACGGGGCCTGGTTTCGGCCCGGACGTGTACCCGAACCAGAAAATACGTCCGGGCGGAACCCATTTTTGTGACGGAGTCTGCACGGCAGCCAGCGTCCTTCAAATCCAACGTTCCACCACGTGCTTGTCTTTCCGCACCACTCTCCTGTGTGCTACAGTGGTGTCACTGGTGGTTGTGTCACTAGTGGTTGTGGTTCTCGACATGGGGCGTTTTGGAACTCACTTCCCCATCCTCCTGCTCTGTAAGCTCAAGTCTGTAGGCAATTTCAGGCCCCAGTAGGGCTTCAAGTTAGGAAACTAAATTTACAAGTTCTGCTAAGCTGCGTGGCTTTGAGTTGTGCGCTGTTTTAGCTCCCTGCAGTTTCGTTTAACAGTTCTAATGCTTAATTATCGTGTCGCATTGTGTGCCTGTCAGGTGCCGCGCTGTTCACTACCGCGTCTGCATCGCTCCTCGTCGGATCATCCCTTCAACGCGATGACGGCAGCAGCGCTCCTCTCGCTTCAACCGATCAGGCAGCCACGCCGTAGCAACTTCAAAAAAAGAGTTTCTGTAAGATTTTCGTGCTAGCAGAGGTCCTGATTATGTATATATATAGATAAACCTAGATCTGTCAGGTTCCGCATTTCGTCCCACCATTATGTTGCCGTATGGCGCTTTCGCCGATTCCGAAGCCACAACTCTTATTGTCTGTTCTTCTTATGGTTATCAGTGACACCTATTTCCGCCATTCTTGTTTTCAGCGAAGTATGTGGCCAAGCTGCGTCCAACTAAGTACGACAACAGATTAATCGTGGGTGACAAAGGCGCATCGGGGATATTTGTCGCAAAGGGTATAAGGTACGTCTCCACTCAGTTTTACTTGTGCTACTACATCATTAACCAACAAACGCTCAGGGCTGAACAATATGACAGAACGTTCCCTCTTCTGACGTAATGTCTTACCTCATATCCGGTTCCACAGGTCGAGTTCAACAATTGCTTACGCGCAGTTACGCGTACTGTTTCGGAACCTCAAGTCCAAAGGAGCGTCGCCTTCACAGAGTTACGGAAACACCTGCAATGTTATTTCCCTTCAAAACGACGCGAATACCTATCGAAATCTCACCACTGCGAAGGGTGGTCGCCGCGGGCGCTACACGTTCGGATACACTCTGCGCGTTGGGCCAGCGTCGGAGGCGGAAGTCCGAGCTTATATCGCGAATAATATTGTGGCTCAGGGCGCGTATGTCAGGGTGGGGCATCCGGAAAACCTGGTGGCACTCTGCGGAAAGTTAAAGAAGGCGCCAAATAAGTGACTTGTTTTTGTTTATTTGGGGGAGAGGCGGGGAGAGGTTGGGAGAAGGGCGAGGAGGCTCGTACAAGCCTGGTGGTGTGTAGAGTGGCATGTTCTCTGTGTGTTGCATATAGTAGTGGAAATCAGCCTCTTCTACACTCAGAACCTTGATATCGCCACTGACTGGCTCCACATTGGATCAGGTTTCAAATCTGTAGCAGATCCCCCTCACCAAGATCAATTCCGTTTTTTAGCAGACTCGAACCATGTCAGGGCAGAGATGTGGTGAAGATCTGCTGAACAATCCCAACAGGCAGCGTACAGCTCCCTCTAGAAGCGGTGCCACTGTGTCGACCTCTAACCAATCCGTTTTTATGGTGCTGACGTGGCGAGAATCTGCAGAACAATCCCAACAGCAAGCGCGCGGCCACCTTCTCTCTAGGCGACTCTGTTTCTAAGCAGACTCAATCCGATTCACGGTGCAGAGGTGGCGAGAATCCTCAGAAAAATCCCAACGGCCAGCGTGCAGCCGCCCTCTCTCAAAGCGATGCGGCCAAACGCACGGAAGTCTGAGTAGGCTTCCAAGCACACACCCCGGTCCAGAGACAACTGTGGGGCAGGCAGTAGTGAGTGAGTGAGTGAGTGGGTGGAAAATGTTTCGAGTCCACATTCATAACAGACCCTGGTCCAGAGACAACTGCAAGCCGGAGGCCTCACCCCACTTCACACTCCTCATCCCTCCCTCTCTCACCTCCACAATAGCACTCTGGTTGGATCCCACGGCTCTGGGCTTGGCGTTTCTTTACCCTCTCCCTCCCCCCATCACCTCTGTCCCTCCCCCATCTTCACCCACCCCCACCCCTCCCCTCACCTCCACAATGGCGCTCTGGTTGGACCCCACGGCTCTGGGCTTGGCCCGGGCAATATCGCCAGTCTTGGCATCGAGAATGGCTGTCAGGGCAGCAATGCGACATGCCTCCTTGGCTGCATGCGCATGTAGAATGGCCTGAAACAGGGGTCGGGAAGGGAGAGAGGGAAGGCACATCAAGCACAGAGTGACCTGAATGGCTGTGAGGGCAGCAATGCGACACACCTCCTTTGCTGCATGCGCGTGCAGAATTGCCTGAAAGAGGGGTCCGGAAGGGAGAGAGGGAAGGCAAATGAAGCACAGAGTGACCTGAATGGCTGTCAGGGCAGCAATGCGACACACCTCCCTGGCTGCTTGCACAGGCAGAAGTGCCTTGGGCCCTCCCTCATTCTACTACCACAGCCACTCACGTTGGTGCCTCTGAGCAGAGGGATCTTGAGGTCGATCGCGAGAAGGGCGCGCCTCCACTCTGGTGGCGAGCGGGGATGGGGAGTGCAAGCTATGATGCCTCCCTCACTCTCACTCTCCTTACTCACAACACGCAGGCAATCAAGAGGGCACAACAAGTCCTCTGGTGCCCCACTCACTCTTACAAGTTACTCACATTGGTCCCTCTGAGCAGAGGGATCTTGAGGTCGAGAGTGAGAAGCCGCGCCTCCACCCTAGCAGCTACAGGGATGGGGTAGTCCGGGTGGCACAGCACGCCACCTGCAGACTAGCGCCACTTGCACCACAGCCACTCACATTGGTGCCCCTGCCACTGACTTGCACCACAGCCACTCACATTGGTGCCCCTGCCACTGACTTGCACCACAGCCACTCACATTGGTGCCCCTGCCACTGACTTGCACCACAGCCACTCACATTGGTGCCACTCAGCAGAGGGATCTTGAGGTCGAGAGTGAGAAGGCGCGCCTCCACCCTAGTGGCGACGGGAATGGGATTTCAAGCCCCCACCCCACAACCACTCACATTAGTGCCCCTGCCACTGACTTGCACCACAGCCACTCACATTGGTGCCACTCAGCAGAGGGATCTTGAGGTCGAGAGTGAGAAGGCGCGCCTCCACCCTAGTGGCGACGGGAATGGGATTTCAAGCCCCCACCCCACAACCACTCACATTAGTGCCCCTGCCACTGACTTGCACCACAGCCACTCACATTGGTGCCACTCAGCAGAGGGATCTTGAGGTCGAGAGTGAGAAGGCGCGCCTCCACCCTAGTGGCGACGGGAATGGGATTTCAAGCCCCCACCCCACAACCACTCACATTAGTGCCCCTGCCACTGACTTGCACCACAGCCACTCACATTGGTGCCACTCAGCAGAGGGATCTTGAGGTCGAGAGTGAGAAGGCGCGCCTCCACCCTAGTGGCGACGGGAATGGGATTTCAAGCCCCCACCCCACAACCACTCACATTAGTGCCCCTGCCACTGACTTGCACCACAGCCACTCACATTGGTGCCACTCAGCAGAGGGATCTTGAGGTCGAGAGTGAGAAGGCGCGCCTCCACCCTAGTGGCGACGGGAATGGGATTTCAAGCCCCCACCCCACAACCACTCACATTAGTGCCCCTGCCACTGACTTGCACCACACCCACTCACATTGGTGCCTCTCAGCAGAGGGATCTTGAGGTCGAGAGTGAGAAGGCGCGCCTCCACCCTAGTAGCTACAGGGATGGGGTAGTCCGGGTGGCACAGGACGCCACCTGGCAGCAGCTGATTGGCCTCCACGCCCTGAAGCCCCACGTCCACGCTCTCCCCCGCCCATGCTGCTGCCACCGGCGATTCGTCCCTCTCTAGGGCCTTCACTGTTGCCTGGAAAGAGCCCGGCATAACAAGAACCTGGGACGAGGGGAAGGGGAAGAGGGAAGGAAGGGTGCAATGCAAGTGACTACCCCCCACCCCAGGAGACCCACGTCCTACTCCACCATGCTCTCCCCCACCATGCTGCTGCCACCGTGCGTCAAACAAAGCCGTGTTGCCTGGCCACCAAAGCTTCTCATCCCATAAATCACCTTGGTACCGTATTACACCGCCCCTCATCCCATGACTCACCTTGGTGCCGTATTACACCGCCCCTCATCCCATGACTCACCTTGGTGCCGTATTACACCGCCCCTCATCCCATGACTCACCTTGGTGCCGTATTACACCGCCCCTCATCCCATGACTCACCTTGGTGCCGTATTACACCGCCCCTCATCCCATGACTCACCTTGGTGCCGTATTACACCGCCCCTCATCCCATAAATCACCTTGGTGCCGTATTACACCGCCCCTCATCCCATAAATCACCTTGGTGCCGTATTACACCGCCCCTCATCCCATGACTCACCTTGGTGCCGTATTACACCGCCCCTCATCCCATGACTCACCTTGGTGCCGTATTACACCGCCCCTCATCCCATGACTCACCTTGGTGCCGTATTACACCGCCCCTCATCCCATGACTCACCTTGGCGCCGTATTACACCGCCCCTCATCCCATGACTCACCTTGGTGCCGTATTACACCGCCCCTCATCCCTTTGCTCGCCTTGGTACCGGCTCGCATCGCTCCGCACTCCATTTTCCCCGCTACGCCTGCCTGCCCCAGCCCCTTCGTTAAGAGCACTTCGTCCCATCCCATCCCACAAGGCCACGTAACGCGTTACGTCCTTTTCTCACCTTGGTACCAAGCCTGCCTGCCCCGGTTGAAATCCGTTAGTTTCGAAACGCATCAAGCCTTCTAAGAGTAACGATCTATAGCACTAGTCTACTAATCTGAAAGGTACCAAGCCTTGGTACCAAGCCTGCCTGCCCCAGCCCCCTCGTTTTGAGCAGTCACTCTATAGAGCCCCACATGGCCATACAAAGCCGCATTACCTGGCACCAAAATTTGTCGTCCCATCAATCACCTTGGTACCGTATTACACCGCTCCTCATCCCATGACTCACCTTGGTACCGTATTACACCGCTCCTCATCCCGTCACTCACCTTGGTACCGGGTCGCATGGCGCCACACTCCACCTTCCCAGCCACGCCTGCCTGCCCCAGCCCCCTCGTTTTGAGCACTTCGGCTATGGCCAGGCGCAGTGGGCGGTTGAGGGCGCGGGGAGGGGGGGAGAAGGAATCAACGGCCTCTAGGAGAGTTGGTCCCGTGTACCTGTGTGTGTAAGAGGAGGGAGGTAGGGGAAGGGGACATGAAGATTTGAGGACTTTCGTTTTGAGCACTTCCGCTATGGCCAGGCGCAGCGGGCGGTTGAGAGCACGGGGTGGAGGAGAGAACGAATCAACAGCCTCTAGGAGGGTTGGTCCTGTGTACCTGCATACAGAGAGAGAAGGAAGGAAAGGAGGGCCGCTTTGAGCACATCGGCTATCGCCAGGCGCAGTGGACGGTTGAGGGCGCGGGGAGGCGGGGAGAAGGAGTCAACAGCTTCTAGAAGAGTTGGTCCTGTGTACCTGTGAGAGAGATGCGAGAGGTGAGGTGGGGTGGTGAAGGAGGGATGAGGCGGTTGAGAGCACGGGGAGGGGGAGAGAAGGAATCAATGGCTTCTAGGAGGGTTGAGGCGCCTCAAAAGACAATGGCTTCTAGGAGGGTTGAGGCGCCTCAAAAGACAATGGCTTCTAGGAGGGTTGAGGCGCCTCAAAAGACAATGGCTTCTAGGAGGGTTGAGGCGCCTCAAAAGACAATGGCTTCTAGGAGGGTTGAGGCGCCTCAAAAGACAATGGCTTCTAGGAGGGTTGGACCCGTGTACCTGTGAGAGAGAGGGGAGGTGGGAGACAACGGGTGGGGGGGGCAGAGGATGTTTGAGTGAGAGACGGAATCCACAGCTTCTAGGAGGGTGGGACCTGTGCACGTGTGAAAGACGGGTTGTTTTTAAAATTTCTCAAAGTACGGAGGGCGTTTGAGGGAAGGCAGAAATCTCCCCCCCCCCCCCCCCCCCCCCCCCCCCCCGGAGCGCACCCTAAAGCACCTACACCACCGCACCTCTTGCTCTCTCCCTCCTAAGACCCCTGATTTCTGTTCAACCCATCATTCAGTCTCTCACCATGCCTCATAATTCACTTCTCACATGTCTTCAGCCGATTATCTGTAGAAGCCAAGTCCAAATTCTCCCCCTGAAGCCCACTCAGAGGCACCCACCGCACTCCACCTTCCCTAAACCCGCACTGCCTCGTTAAGAAAGGTCCCAGCACCCCTTTGATGCGCTCAAACTCGCCCTGGTCGAACCCTGCAGCGTCCATCTTATTCATTCACCACCACGCACAGCTGCTCCACCCCCACAGCTGCCCACCGCGACAGCTGCTCCAACCCCAGCCCAGGCTCCTAGCTATCTCTCCACTGTAAGCGCTCTCTACTCACCATGACTTCAGCCGATCATCAGACGGGGGGCTGTCCAGATTCTCCCCTTGCAGCCCGCTCAGGTCATAGGCACCCATTTCACCGCGCCGTCCCGGAACCCGCACTGTCTCTCCATTGCAAGAGCTCTGTACTCACCATGACTTCAGCCGATCATCAGACGGGGCGCTGTCCAGATTCTCCCCCTGCAGCCCACTCAGAGGCACCCACTTCACAGCGCCGTCCCGAAACCCGCATTGCTTCGTTAGAAACGGCCCCAGCACCCCTTTGATCCGTTCAAACTCGCCCTGGTCGAACCCTGCAGCGTCCATTTTGTTCACCACCACGCACAGCTGCTCCACCCCCAGCCAAGGCTCCTAGCTAGCTCTCCATTATAAGAGCTCTCTACTCACCATGACTTCAGCCGATCGTCAGTCGGGGGGCTGTCCAGATTCTCCCCTTGGAGCCCACTCAGGGGCACCCACCGCACTCCACCGTCCCGGAACCCGCACTGCCGGGTCAGGAACGGCCCCAGCACCCCTTTGATGCGCTCAAACTCGCCCTGGTCGAACCCTGCAGCGTCCATTTTGTTCACCACGACGCACAGCTGCTCCACCCCCAGGCTCCTGGCGATCTGCGCGTGCTCCTTGCTCTGCCCCACGTCCTCTCCCCCCTGCCCTCCCCCCATTCCCGCTTCAAAGGCGCCGGGTGTGGCATCTATTACAAGAAGGGCTGCATCGGCCTGAGGGAGAGATGGAGGGAATGAGGACAAGACAGAAAAAAGCACGCGGTGTTAGCAAACATCCTCAGATCCCAATTCCTCCTTCTAAATAGCCCCCTCCCCCCTCCGCCCCCACCTCCCACTCCCCTTTTCCCCTGCTCACCTGTGCAGTGCCGGCAATCATAGACGGCACAAAATCCCTGTGGCCTGGCGCATCTAGCAGAACCACGTTCAGCCTGGTGACAAGGGAGAGGGGGGTGTGGAAAGTGGGAGGTGGTGGTAAGGACGGGATGGGGGGGGTTGGTAACAAAGTCCCTGTGACCACGTTCAGCCTGGAGATGAGGGGAGGGGGCGGAAGGGGGGGTGTGGAGCGAGGCGAGGGGGAAGGGTGAGGGCGGGGGGGTTGGTAACAAAATCCCTGTGTCCCGGCGCATCCAGCAGAACCACGTTGAGTCTGATGACGGGTGGGGAAGACGGGGGGGATGGAGGGGGTTTGAAGGGAGAAGGAGCAGTGTTGAGCCTGATGACGGGTGGGGAAGACGGGGGGGATGGAGGGGGTTTGAAGGGAGAAGGAGCGGTGTTGAGCCTGATGACGGGTGGGGAGAAAGGGGTTGGGGAGGAAGCAGAGTGAGGTGTGACGAGTGAAGAACTCTAGTCCCTGTGTGACCCCGTGCAGGCAGGGCATCCAGCACGGGGTTCTGCACAGGCTGTAACCTCGTGCAGGGCATCCAGCACGGGGTTCTGCACAGGCTGTAACCTCGTGCAGGGCATCCAGCACGGGGTTCTGCACAGGCTGTAACCTCGTGCAGGGCATCCAGCACGGGGTTCTGCACAGGCTGTAACCTCGTGCAGGGCATCCAGCACGGGGTTCTGCACAGGCTGTAACCTCGTGCAGGGCATCCAGCACGGGGTTCTGCACAGGCTGTAACCTCGTGCAGGGCATCCAGCACGGGGTTCTGCACAGGCTGTAACCTCGTGCAGGGCATCCAGCACGGGGTTCTGCACAGGCTGTAACCTCGTGCAGGGCATCCAGCAGAACAGGACCACGTGAATTACCCACCCACACTCACTTTGGCGTTTCAAATCGGGACATGGCGACAGACATCGTCACGCCTCTTGCCCGCTCCTCGCTGCTCTCGTCCAGCACCCACGCGAATGCAAACGACCCCTTGCCCTGGTTGACCCTTTACCCGGGGCACACCCACACCAACACTCACTTTGGCGTCTCGAATCTTGACATGGTGACACACATGGTAACTCCCCTCACCCGCTCCTCGCTGCTCTCGCATGGACGCACCCATGCGAACGCAAACGACCCCTTGCCCTGGTTGGCCGCTCTAGGTGCTTCCAGTCAGCCGGGCACCACAGCACCCACGACCAAGCACACTCAATCACTTGGGCGTCTCGAATCGGAACATGGCATCGCCATGGACATCGCCATCCACGACCATCCACACCCAGAACAACATTCACACTCACTTTAGAGTCTCGAATCTTGACATGGCCACGGACATCGTCACCCCTCTCACCCACTCCCGCTGCTCTCGTCCAGCACCCACGCAAACGCAAACGACCTGGCCTGGCCAGACCACTGCTCTTACCTAGTCCTATGTGTGTGAGTGAGGCAGCACTCACTTGGGGGTCTCGAATCTTGACATGGCAACAGACAATGTGACTCCCCTCGCCCACTCCTCGCTGCTCTCGTCCAGCACCCACGCGAACGCAAACGGCCCCTTGCCCTGGCTAGACCACTGCTGTTACCCAGCCCTATGCCAGTGAGACAGCACTCACTTGGGGGTCTCAAATCTGCTGTCATGGTAACGCCTCTCGCCCGCTCCTCGTGCTCTCCTCCAGCACCCACGCAACCCCTTGCTACTGCTGGCCAGGCACACCCACACCAACACTCACTTGGGCGTCTCGAATCTCGACATGGCGACGGACATGGTGACTCCTCTCGCCCGCTCCTCGCTGCTCTCGTCCAGCACCCACGCGGACGACCCCTTGCCCTGGCCAGGTCACTGCTCTTGCCCAGTCTTACGCAAGCGAGGCAACACTCACTTTGGCGTCTCGAATCTCGACATGGCGACGGACATGATAACTCCCCTCGCGCGCTCCTCACTGCTCTCGTCCAACACCCACGCGAACGCAAACACAAAGGGCCGCTTGCTCTGGCTGGCTGCTTCCACTCAACCACACCCACACCCATCCCCACCCATCCCAACACACTACAACACCGGCACTCACTTTGGGGTTTCAAATCGCGACATGGCCACAGACATCGTCACCCCTCTCGCGCGCTCCTCGCTGCTCTCGTCCAGCACCCACCCACACGAACGCGAATGACCACTTGCCCTGGCCAGGCCAGGCCAGGCCACTGCTTTCATTCAGCCCGTTGCAAGGCATCACTCACACGTGTCGGGACAGCACAGCACCCACTCACTTTGGCGTCTCGAATCTTGACATGGCAACAGACATCGTCACCCCTCTCGCCCGCTCCTCGCTGCTCTCGTCCAGCACCCACGCGAACGCAAACGGCCCCTTGCCCTGGCCAGGTCACTGCTCTTATCCATCCAAGGGTGCACTATTAGACAGCACTGACACGGTACTCACTTTGGTGTCTCGAATCTCGACATAGCCACGGAAATCAAAACGCCTCTCGCCCGCTCCTCGCTGCTCTCAGCACCCACGCGAGGCATCACTCACTCCCATCCTACCACGATGATGGGAGCACTCACTTTGGCGTTTCAAATCGGGACATGGCGACAGACATCGTCACGCCTCTCGCCCGCTCCTCGTTGCTCTCGTCCAGCACCCACGCGAACGCAAACGACCCCTTGCCCTGGTTGACCCTTTACCCGGGGCACACCCACACCCACACTCACACCCACACCCACACTCACTTTAGAGTCTCGAATCTTGACATGGCAACGGACATAGTAACACCTCTTGCCCGCTCCTCGCTGCTCTCATCCAACACCCACGCGAACGCGAACGACCCCTTGCCCTGGTTGGCGGCATCCCTCTGAACGCGATGCATCTCCTTGTTCGAGACCCGCCCCAGCTTGTGCAACAGATGGCCCATGATGGTGGACTTGCCCGCATCCACATGACCTAACTGCAGTGCGTGCAGGGAGGCGGGAGAAAGGGAGGGAGCAAGAGCAGGTCGGTGAGTAGAGCTCCCCTTGCTCTGGTTGGCGGCATCCCTCTGAACGCGATCCATCTCCTTGTTCGAGACCCGCCCCAGCTTGTGTAAGAGGTGGCCCATGATGGTGGATTTCCCCGCGTCCACGTGACCCAGCTGCAGGTTGGAGGAATGATCCCTTGCCCCGGTTGGTCGCGTCTCTCTGCACGCGGTGCATCTCCTTGTTGGTCACCCGGCCTAGCTTGTGCAGCAGATGGCCCATCATGGTTGATTTCCCCGCATCCACATGACCCAGCTGCAGTAGAAGGGGGGTGTGCGGGTGGGTGGGAGGGGGTGGGAGGGTGCACAAGCAGGTCCCTTGCACTCGCCCTGGTTGGTCGCATCCCTCTGCACTCGATGCATCTCCTTGTTGGAAACTCGGCCCAGCTTGTGCAACAAATGACCCATGATGGTCGACTTCCCCGCGTCCACGTGACCCAGCTGCCAGAGGGGGTGTGTGGGGGGAGAGGGGAGGGAGGGGAGGGTGCAAGAGCAGGTCGGTGGAGCCACCCTTGCCCTGGGGGGTTAAGGCAGTTCCTGTGCACGCAATGCATCTCCTTGTTGTAGACCCGCCTCAGCTTATGCAGCAAGTGGCCCATGCTTGCCAATTTCTCAGCATCCACCTATCTCCACGCCTTACAATCCCTTTCCACCCAAAGCCCACCCGTTTTCAACCCCTTTCCACTCACCACAATGAGGTGCAGGGTCGGCTTTCCATCTCCTTCTTTCATTCCCTCCTTAATCCATCCCTCTGCTTCATACGCCTCTAAAGCTTTCTTTCTCCTCGTCTCCTCATCCTCCCCTCCCTTGCCCTCCCCTCCTCCCTCTCCCCCCCCTGCAGCGGCTGCTGTGGCTGTAGCAGCTGTAGCAGTTGCAGAAGTTGCGCTAACACCAGTTCTGGAAGCACTGGGCGAAGCTTCCTTCTTGCTTCCTTCTGCAATCTGAATTTTACCAACGCCTGCAACAGCCACGTCAGCAGCAGGGGATGCTGAACTGGACGAGCGGCTGCTGCTGCTGTTGGCGTTTTTCGCCTGAGTGGTTGCAGCCGAGGAAGCAGGCACGGCTGCTGACGTGGCAGCAGCACGTGGTGCCACGTGTCCCCCTTTCAAGGCGGATTGAATGGCATCATCGGGTGAAGGAGTGGAGAAATCGAATGGCTCTGAGGGGAGGGGAGAAGGAGGAGGGGAGAGAAAGGGAAAGTGGGAGACTATATGTCAATACTATGGATCGGTTCTGCGGGTAGGGGAGAGAGAACATTCTAACGGAAGTTCATCCTTCCCCCCAAACAAAAGGAAATCTGCATCTCACAGAAGCGCTTCCTCCTCATGCGTTTCAAAAAAGGAAAAAGAGACGTCCCTCACCCCACCTATTCTCATCTCCCCTGCCGCTTTCAGCACCCAAGGCACGCGGGCCAATGGGAGCACGCCAAGTGGCCGCTGTCCCGCAGCAGACTGCTGCAGCAGCACACACGCACCCCTCCCCGCCTCCGCACTCCCCCTGCTCACCCTCCCATGCCCCTGCTTGCGCCGGCAGCGCGGGGCAGGGGCAGCAAGGGTCGCACCCAGAGGTGACACCTGGGGTAGGCTGGACCCCAAAGGTGGTGCCTGGTGGCTGGAATTCAGGTAACCCAAAGGTTGTACTTGGAAAGGCTGGACCCTTTCTTGGGATGGCACCCTCTTGGTGTGAGCTCTCTCTGTGTTCGACTCAGTGTGAGACCGAGCGTGCAATTGTGGAAGTGAATGGTGCATCTGGTGCCTCTCTCGCCGCGGTGCCCCCTCCATGTGTGTGCCTGCACACAGGCAGCAGCAGCACAGGAGGGGCGGGAGCAGGAGCAGAGGCACCAGCGTGTTGAGGATTTACGCCGTTTGGATACATGGATGTTTTTTGCTACCACTGGCCCCTTCCTTCTCTCTCCCCGTCCCCCTCGCCCTCTCCCTCTCCCTTGCCCCCTCACGCGCGTGTGTCTGCACCCAGGCAGAACAGGAGGGGAAGGAGTTGGTAGTGGCAGCTAGTGTGCACGCCACGCCTAGTTTTTTTTTTGTTTTTTTTTTTTTTTTTGTACCTTGTTGAGCAGCAGCTGCAGTAGCACCACCACCATCACCAGCTTGTCTGGCGGTGCTGCAGACGCCCCAAGCGACGAAGAGCGGCGGGTTGTCGAACATGCACGCCGCGCACCTTCATATTCCACACGCTCAGGATGTTACCAGCACTGCCGTATGGTAACCCGAAATGCAGCGTGGTAACCAGCCATAGCATACCTCCTTGAGCGGGTCTGGCGGCGCTGCACACGTCGCACGCGAGGAAGAGCGGCGGGTTGTCGAAATGGTAACCAGCACTGAAGCATTGTAACCAGCACCAACCATGGCATACCTTCTTGAGCGGGTCTGGCGACACTGCAGACATCACACGCGAGGAAGAGCGGTGGGTTGTCGAACGTGCACGCCACACACCTACACATCCCAGTCACTACTGAGTATTCTCAAGAGTGACTTCTCATTACACACGCTCAGGATGTAACCAGCACGGCAGCATGGTAACCAGTCACAGCAGCATGGTAACCAGCACGGCAGCATGGTAACCAGCACGGCAGCATGGTAACCAGCACAGCAGCATGGTAACCAGCTAGAGCTTACCTTGTTGAGCGGGTCTGGCGGCGCTGCAGACGTCGCACGCGAGGAAGAGCGGCGGGTTGTCGAACGTGCACGCCGCGCACCTCCACGTTCCGCCTGCGCCGCCGCCGCTCGCTGCGGATCCGCCAATCGCGGCGGACCCGCCGGAAGGGGTCTCCGCTTTGTTGGGAGGAGTCAGTGGGAGGGTAACGGGTGATTTGGATCCAGCCTTCCCCCCTGCCTGTTGCTGCTGCGGTTTCTGCTGAGCTGGCTGCTTCGCTTGTGGCTGCTTCGCTTGTGGTTGCTTCGGTTGCGGTTGTTGCTTTCCGCCTTTTTGAGATTTCGCCTGCAGCCGGCCTGCCTCCTCGTACTCGTCATAGTCGTCCTCGTCTTCGTCATAGTCATCATCGTCGTATCCATCGTCCCAATCGTCATCGTCGTACTGTTCCTTCCCCCGCGGCATGCTGTCGCTCTCACAATGCAACGACTCTACACAAAAGGAACCAAGCGTGCAAAAAAGGCCCCAAAAAACTAACAACGCAAACGGCGGAAAGCACGGTAATATAATGCTACAACCGTGACCCGTTGTAGGGCGTATGGAACGGACTAACTGACGCCTATGGTCTGGTCTGGTGGAACTGACTGCTGATCTGTGAGGCTACATAGTTTCGGGCTAATCTATCATTCCCGATAGGATAGACCAGGAGGTTGGGCCGGATGCAATGGGCCGAACATCCTGATTGAAAGGTCACTATGATTTGCAATGTCATATTAGAATGGGAAGCTCTGCAATACATATTGAGATACTTCCTACATAATCTTGATTTAATGCAGTGTATTCAAACTTCTCGCTTTTCAGGACATAAATAATGTAGGAGCTGGAAAGTGCACTAGTTTTTACTTACGATATACATTTGGCAAATACTAGTAAAATTATTGCAATTATATGAGGATAGCCAGAGATAGTATAGGAATATAATACCTGTTTCGAACTATGAGCCTTGGTGGACATTTTATGCCCAAGATTCACAAAACTTTGTACATAATGCAAACAGATTCTAGATTACCAGTCTGTATACATCTATTTAGACTTGGGATTCTCAGTCTTTACAAGATACCTCACGGCAGAAGCTCTCTCAATAGCGTGTACTTTTACCTTCTCCGTCTACACCTCGTCCTCGACCCCACCCGTGCTAGGGTTCTCCAGCCCTTGCATCTTGGTAAAGCCTACCAACTCGGTCCGCCTGTGGCCTTCGGATTACCTTTCAAGCCAACTTGGTTGGATTTGCTTACTTGGTTGGATTTGCTTTTGAACCTATCCCAAGCCAAGCCCAATCACTTCGCTTTCTTTCCTCTGCTCAATACGCTCTCGACGCTTCTCCTCTCTCGTTTACGGTAACTCAGCGCCTCGGATCCCGCGTTTACATTAGCTCCTGTGCGTCCTTACCATCCCAAGCAATCAGTTTTGATTCCCGTTTCATGTTTAGACCGAACTGTTGGCAGCTTGAAGCAGCCGTCTCTTGACCAATCGGGATATTTTCTAACTGATGACGAATAGGTGGGTGCGTCTGCTTAGCGTGAGACTCTGCTCATAAATCTTTGTGATGTAGTTTTCGTCAACACGCGTGGCTGCACGTGGCTCCGTGTGGCGTTAGAACGATATTAGTGGAGTAACACTTCAAACTTTTTTCGCAACGTTGTACCGAACCCTTAAGCGTCCCGTTCCGACCCCAAAGCCATAACGCGAGCGATTTAGGTCTGCCAGTGACAGTTTTCTGAAATCAGTACAGCTCTTCTTTTCATTACTATGAAAGACGCAGTGTTCGCTGGTGCTTTCCCTTCTTCCGTAGTTTCCGTCTAGCTGAACCTGGTTTAGTACCTTCAACACGTTACAGCTATGGTCATCTTATCGCCATCTCGTTTCTTAGTGGCTCCGTTTTAAGTCTCGGCCATATTTCGAGACGTCTTTTTTTTTATATATCGAATGTACTTCGTTTCGTTTCATACGCTGCGAGTGGCATCGTTTGGGTTTCCGTTCTCGCTTTCGCATGTGAAATTTGATAACTTTTTCACCTTTTGACATGTTTTTCTCCCAGAGTTTTGTGCAAGTACTTCGTCAATGGAGCATGCAGTAGGGGGGACAGTTGTCCCTTTTCCCACAATTGGAAGGACAAACCTAACATGGTGGGGCCCCTGCTCCGTGACCCTCTATCCTGTCACCCCCTTTTCTGTCAACCCCTGTTTTGTCACCTCCTTGTTACCCCCTGTCCCTGTAACCACCTTGGTACCCCCTGTCCCTGTCACCTCCTTTCACTGTGTGTTCTGTGTTTGATTGATCGTACTTGCGCCTTATAAACATCAATGCTGCAACAACCGCGCTTCATGCTTACAAATCTGCCGCTCCCGCACCCTTCTCATCTCACTCCAGCATCCGCTCTCTTGCACCATCACACCCTCACATCCTCACATCCTCGCACCCACACACCCCACCCCACACACGCGCAACCACACATCCTCACTCTCACACACACCCACGCACACACCCAACTGTTCCTCTTCATTTCCCTCTCCTCCTTCCCACGCACTACCAAAGATGCTTTTCCTTCCCCGACCCCCCTCCCTCCCTCTCACCGCCGCTCCGGCCCCATCCACCCTGTCAGGCGTGTGTGTTCTACCAGCGCGGAGTCTGCTCCTATGGCGACGGCACAACCCAAGATGCTGTTACCTCTCCCACCCCCGTCCCTGCCTCTCCCCTCCCCAACCCTCACCCCCCTTTTAGGCGTGTGTGTTCTACCAGCGTGGTGTCTGCTCCTATGGGGACCGCTGCCGCTACGACCATGTCAAGCCCAAACCCTCCTCTTCTGCCGTCCCTGTTCCGCCACCCGCCGCTGTCCCACCCACACAACCAACTTTTGCACCCGCTCTCCCCTCACGTGCCGCTGCTGCCGGGCCTGCTGCAGCGCCTGCTGTCCCACCTGCTGCTTCCAGCAATAGCAGCAGCAGCAGCAAAGGCGTCAGCAGCAGCAGTGGGAGCGTTGTGAGCAGCAGTAACGGGAGTAGCAGACTCACGGGCAGTGGCAGCAGTGCGACCAGTAACAGTAGCAGCAGCAGCAGTGCTGGGGCTAGTAGAGTCACTAGTAACTGTGTAACCGCCACTAGCAAGAGTGTAACCTTCACTAGCAACGCTGTGTCAGGCACTGCTAGAGCTGCTTCCAGTCCTGCTGCTGATGCCCTCTCCACCCTCTCCGCCCTCTCCTCGTCCTCCTGGCCTTCCCTTCAGCCCCAAACCTCTGCCGCTACTGTTACCTCTGCCAGCTCTAATGCAAGACCTCAGTACCCCGCCAGTGCTTCCCCATACTCCGCCAAAGGACCCCCATACCCATCCACACCTCCTCCCACCACCACCACACCTCTTCACCACTCCCCCGTTCCTGTCCGCCCCGTTTCCTCCTCTTCCGCGTCCTCTCCATTCACTGCTCCATCCCTCTCCTCTGCTTCCACCACCCCCTCCTCCACTACCCCTCGTTCTGTCTCTGCTACTCCCTCCTCCTCCTCTACCCCACTCTCTGTCTCCGCCTCTCCCTTTCTCCCCTCCGCCGCTCTCCCACCCTTTGTTCCGTCCAGCCAATCAGCAAGCACCTCCACGTCAGCAGTCGCGAATCCAGCCTATTCGTCTGTCCCTACTTCTAGGTTGACCCCCACAGCACCGGTTTTCCACCCTCCTGCTGCTGCTCGTGCTGCTGCCGGTTCGTTTGCTGCTGCTGCTGCTGCTGCTGCTGCTGGTTCTGCTTCTGCGTCTTGTTGCTGCTGCTGCTGCTGCTGCTACCTCTGCGACTGTCCCTACTGCTGCTGCAGCAGCTGCAGCACCGGTTACCACCACCGTCAACCGTAGCCGTTCCAGCCTATACACTCCAGCCCAGTATTACGCAGAACGTGCACAAGCCTCCATACCCGTTACTGGTCCCATACTCGCTACAAACGGACTCGTTTCCGGGTACAGTTACGCCCATCCGTCCTCCGCTACTCCCACCATTCCCCAATACGCCCCTGCGCCCTCTCCCAAGGCAAATCTCGAGCGAGATGCGTCGGGGAGCTCATTGGACGGTCCAGATTGGCTGCCGCGATCTGCTAGCGATCTGTTCGATGAGGGGCTTCCTGTGATGCGCATGAGTAGCGGCGGTGGGGGAGGGGCGGGCCAGAGAGGAAATGCGGCTGTATTGGGTTATGCAGAGAGAGAACAAGGGGGAACAACAGGACCCGGGGGTGGGGAAATGCGCATGGGAGGGTCAGGTATAGGGGTGGCGGGGGCGGGAGAGGCAGGGGGGTTGGGTTTCGTGTTGCAGGGGCCCCAGCAGCAGCAGAGCGTGTGGGTGGAAAGGGACCCGTTAGTGAGTGACCCGTTTGGGGAGGAGGAGCTGGGGTTTGAGTCTGAGGTGGGGGAGGAGCCGCAGCAGCAGGGCGTGTGGGCGGCGGAGGGGGCAGGGTTTGCGAGTGAGGAGGAATTTGAGGACTTTGTGAGGGAGGCGAGTGACTTCTCTGCCCAGGCCGCTGCTTTGAGAATAGGGCTCATCGCTCTTATGGATGAGGAGAGTCCTTCTGGTGCTTCTGCTGCCGCTGCTGGTGCTGCTGGTGTTGGTGCTGGTGCTGGTGCTGCAGCCACTTCGACGCCTGAAACCGCAGCAGCATCTGCAGCGCCTGCTTTCTCAGCAGCTGCTGCAGCAGCATCGACAGCTCCTGCTGCTGTATCATTAACACCTGCAGCGTCTATAGCTCCTGTGGCCGCTGGGAGTGACCAGTCAACTGATTACAAGCAAGTACTGGACTCACTAGGCAAGCCTTCTGCTGCTGCACAATTTTCTGGTGATTACACTGCTGGATACGATGATCCTGGGGGTTACCAGGCCTACAGTGCTTACAGTGGTTACAGTGGTTACAGCGGGAACGGTGGGTACGGTAGTTACGGTGCAAGTGCTGCTGTCAATGCTGCTAATGGTGCCCCTGCTTCGTCAGGCAACAGCAGCAGTGGAGGCGATGGTGGAAGCAGGATAAGCCCGATAAGTGGTGCCTCTTATTGTGCCTCTGTGGCCGATAAACCGGATATGCCCCTCTGCACGTTACCGCGAGTGGAGAGTGCTGCAGGCGCCTGCTGTGCCCGCGGCCCCTCTTGCCCCTTTCCCCACGGCGACCTCTGCCCCCACTGCGGCCGCTACTGCCTGCACCCCGCTCGCCCCACGGTCAGTGTCTTTTTGTGTCATCCTGCTAAAGTTACTCTCTGCGTGTTATGCCTCTCTGCACGTTGCCTCGAGTGGAGGGTGCTTTAGGCGCCTGCTGTGCCCGCGGCCCCTCCTGCCCCTTCCCCCACGGCGACCTCTGCCCCCACTGCGGCCGCTACTGCCTGCACCCTGCTCGCCCCACTGTAAGTGACTGTGTGTGACTGTTACCCCGTGCTGCGACTTTGTTTGCTCACCTTTCCTGCCCCTTCTCGCACAGGGACCTCTACCCCCACTGCGGTCGCTGCTGCCTGCATTCTGCCAGGCCCACCACAGTGAGGTTGCTTCACCACAGTGACTTCTTGAGTCACTGTGCCTCCATTTTATTGCAGTGCAGTCTAACCTCCCCTTTCTCTTCCCCACCGTTGCCTCTCCCATCCTCCGCCTCACCGCAGTGCAGAATCTTTCTCTCTGCTCCGCCCACCCACACCCGCACGTCACTGGAACGTGAGGAGCAGGAGGAGCATATTGCCGAGCGTGTGCCTGTGCAGACAAAAGTGCAAGCGCTGAAACTGAGCTCAAGAGATCGAGTGCAGCGTGTGCCTGGAACGCGTGCTGGGGAAGGCCTTGTTTTGATTGTAGTCCCACTTTCTACTTTCCCCACTCACCCACTACAGGAGCGGGAAGAGCACATGAAGGAATGTGTGCGGTTACAGAGGAAGGTGCAAGCCTTAAAGCTGAGTTCAGAGATCGAGTGCAGCGTGTGCCTGGAACGCGTGCTGGGGAAGGTTCTGGTCTTTGTTCTACTCCCTCTCCCATCCCTCTCTTCCCCTGCGGCCTTCCCACCCACCACTGCAGGAGCGGGAGGAGCATATAAAGGAGTGCATGCGGTTACAGAGGAAGGTGCAAGCCTTAAAGCTGAGCTCAGAGATTGAGTGCAGCGTGTGCCTGGAACGTGTGCTGGGGAAGGCCCGCCCGGCAGATCGCAAGTTTGGCATTCTCTCCCACTGCGACCACCCCTTCTGTGTGGCGTGCATCCGCAACTGGCGCGCTGCTGGGCAGGTGGGTGTGGGGAAAACGGGGGGAGAGGTAGGGGCGTCGAATCTCTACATGCAATGCAAGGTGGTGGTGGTGGTGGGTGGGTGTGTTGGCATTCTGTCACATCAAGGGTTGGCAGATGCAATCAACCGCCCTCTGCCACCCTCTCATACTTCATCACTCCCAGTGTGATGTGGTTACCTCTGCCTCCTTGTTCTCAGCCCCCTGCTTTCTCCCGCCCTTCCCCCAGCAGGAGAGTGGGGAGTCAGTCCCTTAAGATCTGGATAACGCAGTGCGGGCATGCCCCGTGTGCCGCGTGCTTTGAGTGTAAACACCTGTTGTTCTCCTCTCTCCTCTCCCCGTGAACCCCCCAGCAGGAGAGTGGCGAGTCAGTGCTCTTAGACCTCGACAACGCAGTGAGGGCTTGCCCTGTGTGCCGCGTGCTTTGAGTGTGCCCACCTGCTGTTCTCCTCTCTCCTCTCTCCTCTCCCTTTGCAACCCCCAGCAGGAGAGTGGAGAGTCGGTCCCATTAGACCTGGACAACGCAGTGAGGGCCTGCCCCGTGTGCCGCGTGCGATCGCACTTCGTGACGCCCAGCGTCGTGTGGTTCTTCAGCGAAGAGCAGAAGCAGGCCATCATTGAAGGCTACAAGCGAAAGCTCAAGTGAGACACTAGGGGGAGCAGGTGGGGGGAAGGAGGGGGGAGGCGGGACTTGTTTGTGTGGGTTGTGTGGGATGTCCCCTATAGGTTTGTTGCCACGCCCAGTGTGGTGTGGTTCTTCAGCGAGGAGGAGAAGCAGGCGATCATTGAAGGATACAAGAGGAAGCTCAAGTGAGAAAGAAGTGGGGGGCGGGGTGGTTGTAGGAGGAGGGTTTGTGTAGGCTGTCCCACCTGGGATGTCTCCATATAGCTGTGTGACGCCCAGTGTGGTTTGGTTCTTCAGCGAGGAGGAGAAGCAGGCAATCATTGAAGGATACAAGAGAAAGCTCAAGTGAGAAAGAGATGGGAGGGCGTGGGTGTAGGAGGAGGGCTTGTGTGGGTTGTTCCGCCTGGGATGTCTCTAGTGGGTTGTTACTTTCACGCAGTGTGGTGTGGTTCTTGAGTGAAGAGGAGAAGCAGGCAATTATTGAATGATACAAGCGGAAGCTCAAGTGAGGAAAGAGGTATTGTGTGGGTAGGGAGGTTTGTGTGGGGAGGGGGGATTGTGGCGTACTTGGGGGAAGTTTCTATAGCTTCGTCACGCCAAGTGTGGTGTGGTTCTTCAGTGAAGAGGAGAAGCAGGCGATCATAGAAGGATACAAGCGGAATCTCAAGTGAGAAAGGGGGGAGATTTGTGGGTAGTATGGATGTCGGGTACTTGGAAGATTTACGTATATTGTTGTGATTCTTAGTGTGGTGTGGTTTTTCAGTGAGGAGGAGAAGCGGGCATATCGAAGGATACAAGAGGAAGCTTAATTGAGAAAGAATGAGAGTGGGGAAAGGTAGCAGTGGAGGTACGCTGTTTATGTGCGTGCGTGTTGCATGCGTGACTGCTGCCACAAGAGCACCAACTATTGCTCTTGTTGCCACGAACTGTTGCTTTGCCGTACTGGGATTACGGCAACAGTCAGAGTCCATTTCCCCCCACAAAGCACTGATTGTCGGTGTTTCAATTAACCACGGCAACGGCCAGTGGCCCTTTCCCTTCCCCTTCTTCCACCTCCCTCCACACCTGTTCCTCGCCTCCCCTCCCCGTCTTTTCCTGACAGGAGCACTGGCTGTCGGTATTTCAACTACGGCAACGGCCAGTACCCTTTCCACCTCCCTCCACACCTGTCCACCTCCCTATATACCTGCTCTCTCCCTTTCCCTTTCCCCGACAGGAGCACTGACTGTCGCTATTTCAACTACGGCAACGGCCAGTGCCCCTTCGGCACCAGCTGTTTCTACAAGGCGCGTCCCTCTTGCCCATTGTGCGCGTCCCTCTTGCCCATTGTCCCTGTTGCTCAAGGCAACAAGAAAGTCCCATTGTGCTCGTCCATGCCCTTGTGTTTGTCTCTTGCACTTTCTACAAGTTGCTTCTTGTTGCCCATCCTACGTGGTCTCTATTCCATCATGTTATCCTTGCCTCCTTTCCGCTTCCTCCCCCTCCCCACCTTCCGCTCCCTCCCCTCCCCTCCCCTCCCCCCCTCTTGTCTCCTGTCTCCCACTTCCCTCCTCCCCCGCGCATCGCCTCGTCTTTCTTTTTATCTCTTCCTCTCTCCTTTATCAATTGTTCAATTTGAAATTGCTTGAAAAACACCAGAAAAGTACTACTTTCTTCTTCCATCACCCTCCAAACTCTTCTCCCCGCCCCCCCTTTCCCTCTTTTCCCCCCTTCCTCCCATCGCTACCGCCACCCCACACTTACAGCATGCTTACCGTGACGGGCGGTTGGAGGAGATAAAATTGCGACACCTCTCTTCTGCTGATGGGAGTGCTGTCATTTCGAAAGACATCAGGTGCGTATGGACGAGCATGGAATATTTCATGCCACTTGCTAAATGTAACCATATTAAGACGAGAAACAATGTCCCCTCTTCTTTTTGCTGTATGATTTTATCTCAATTGGCAGGTTATCTGATTTCTTGGGTAATGTTGGCCAAAGACGATGAATGTTCATGAAATTACTTCAATATGTTGTCAAGAGTCAAATGGATTCTCTATATTTTAGACCAAACATATATGAAAACAATCATTACAAACAAACGTGCCCATTTCCACACCCTCAAAGTGCATATAATATGGAAGTAGTGTAGCGATGACGGATTGCTCCTTGGATATGTAAAGTGATTGTACTGTATAGAATTTGAAAGGCGGTTATCTAGGCGATCATGCATGAAACGAAGCTATATGGTAGAGTGCCGTAGATCCCTAGGTCAAATAGCATATGTAGGCAAGCTGGAATCTCAGGGAGGTTGTTTGTAGACGCGACACGCGTACAGGGAACGCACCGCATTATGGCGTCGTCATCTCGCATCCCGTCGCTCGCTCGCCTCGCGAGCGTCTCGCTGTTCATTCTGTCGCTAGCGTTCGTCGCATGCCGTCGCACGGCCGCCGTCGTACTGCTGGTGGAAGGCAAGGAGTGCCTCACGGAGCACCTAGAAGCGAACGAGGCGGTGACGGGAAGCTTCGTGGTTATTGACGTCGACAGCGCGTGGCTTAGCGAGGCTGGAACCATCGATTTCGAGGTTCGTCGTACCGTGCAGTGTTCAGATGTTGTCTCGACGTTTTTGAATCGACGCTAAAATGTTGTCTTGATGTTTCTGCTCGTTTCATTGAGTCTCAACCTTGATATATCTCACAATGTAAGAACTTGTGGCTTTCGAACGCTCGAAACATCGACTTTGTACTGGGAAGCTTCAACCGTTGATTTAACTGATCGTTGCGACTGATTTGCACATGTGAGACGATATTTTCCTGTCAAGGTCCGTGCACTCAGGAGGCCATAGCTTCTGAGTCTCGATTCTGAGTCGACTCAATAGCACATGTCAGACAGACACTTCCCTGTTGAGGTCCATGCACTCAGGAGGCCATAGCTTCTGCCCCCCCCCCCCCCCTTCCCTCGCCCATTCTCCCTTGGTCCGTGTATCTAGGAGACCACAGCTTCGGTTTGCATCTCTCTCACGCATCCCTCGCCTTTTTGCCTCTCCAACCCTGCTGATGCCATTTCTTCTCAGATCCACAGCACACCTTTTTTATCTCCTTATAAGCATGCGTTACAATGCAGATCCACCTGCTATAGGAAATTACAGCATTTACCGTCCCCCATCTGACTCTCCTTTCTGGGTATTTACCCCCTTGTTCTTCCCCTTTTTGCTCATTCAGATCATAGGCCCGCACAACCTAAAACTCTACAGTGCGAAGCGCAAGGCGGAGGACAATTTCCAGTTCCGGTCCATGTACTCGGGCGACTACAGCTTCTGCATGGATAATACCGATCACATGGCTGCTACTGTTCAGCTGAGCTACCACATCGGGCACAAACCTCACACCCATGAGGTGGCCAAAGATGGTGAGCACTGTGTGATGAGTGCCATGTATTGAGGGGATTGGGACGGGGGGATGGGAGGCAGGCGATGGGAAAGAGGGGGGATGGGAGGCAGGGAGCTGGAGGTGGGGGATGGGAAGGGGGGGGTGGGAGGTGGGGGATGGAAGGCGGGGGATGGGAGGTGGGGAGATGGGTGTTCCGGTCCATGTACTCGGGCGACTACAGCTTCTGCATGGACAACACGGACCACATGGCTGCCACTGTTCAGCTCAGCTACCACATCGGGCTCAAACCACACACCCATGAGGTGGCCAAGGATGGTGAGCTGTGCGATGGGAGGTGGGAGATGGGAGGGGGGGGGGGGGGGGGGGGGGGGAGGGTGGGGGGGTGGGAACAGTGGGGAGATGGGAACGGGGGGGAATGGGAGGCAGGGGGATGGGAGGTGGGGGATGGGAGGTGGGGGATGGGAGGTGGGGAGATGGGAGGCGGGGAGATGGGAGTTCCGGTCCATGTACTCGGGCGACTACAGCTTCTGCATGGACAACACGGACCACATGGCTGCTACCGTGCAGCTCAGCTACCACATCGGGCACAAACCGCACACCCATGAGGTGGCCAAGGATGGTGAGTCGCTGCACACTTACCAAGTGGTTAAACATGGTGTTCCCCTCTTTTGTTTTTGCCCTACTGTCTGCCAGCTTGGGATAGTGCTTGTCCTCATCATCGTTGTACCTCCAATACATTCCCTCCTACTTTATTTCCTTCTTCAGAGCACATGCAGGGAGTTCTTGATCAGGTGACGGTCCGGTCTGATTCTGGTTCAGCAGGACTTCGTTTCCATCCCGTTCGCAAACCATGCCGCTGCCTCCTATCCCTTTTCAGGTGGAGTCAATCCGGTCTGGCCTGGTTCTCATGCAGCAGGATCAGGCATACTTCCAAGCCCTTCCAAACCATTTCTCCTCCTCTTCCCGCTTCCTATTCTTCTTCAGAGCACATGCAGGGAGTGCTTGGTCAGGTGGAATCAATCCGGTCTGGCCTGGCTTGGATGCAGCATTACATCCTTTCTCATCCCTCTACACCATTCTGCCTCCTCCTATCCCCTTTCAGAGCACATGCAGGAAGTGCTTGGTCAGGTGGAGTCAATCCGGTCAGGCCTGGTTTTGGTGCAGCAGGACCAGGCATACTTCAAAGCCCGAGATGAACGGCGTCGGAGAAGTGAGTGTTTCTGCCTTTGTTTGCGCTCTTGTGAATCCTCTGAAGTGAGTGTTTCTTTGTTTGCGCTTTTCCTTACTTATCTCGACCCCCTTCACTCGTCTTGTTCACCCCCTGGCCTGCTAGCTTCAAAATCTCTGTGCTGTGTTAGTTAAGAGAATCTGCTGTGCTGTGAATGCTTGCAATATGCATCACCGACCTTCTCTTTTTAGGAAACTGCTAGCCACTTCACACCCAACACTTCTGTTTGCGGATTTTCTGCTGATTGTTGTGTGCAGCAAATGAGAGCACCAAGCAGCGTGTATTTTGGTATGCCCTGCTTGAAGTGTTGGTGCTTGTCCTTGCCAATGGGGCTCAAGTTCTTATTCTCCACCACCTCTTCAACAAAGCTGCTGCCAGAAGCCGCAAGTGACCAACTTCCAGGATTGCTGTATTAGGTAAGGTTCCCAGAATCGTGTTTCTATTCTTGCGTTAGTGATTTTATTATTCGTCTTAGAAAGCTATGTATCGTGCCATTAGCTTATGTGAATGGATCTTGCTGAATGTACGCGTGTTTATTGGATCTAAACGTGCTTCACAGTTTAGAGGTCAGATTCTCAATGCATATGTTTCTCCCCTTGCTGGAAACTTTGCGCTGATTCGTGCATCCGCTCTTGAGTGGCATTCATGGATGGGAGGCAAACTCCACGTGGAGTTCATTATTTCTCGTGCCTTTGACCCAGGTGGCATCGCCTTCCCGCCACACAGGCCAACTGACTCGTCAAAAATTCGAGCCGCGAAATTGTTAGACGCGGCGCGCCTAGGTCTTCCTGCAATCGCCTCCGTTCAGGCCTTGTTCGTCACGGAATTTCGCGAAAATCGAAATGATGTCGCAATCCACACAGCCTCTGCCGACATTTCGTCAAACGAGGGACAACACCAATGTACAGTAATCTCCGATTCGCACAATTTCCGACAGCGAATCAGCAGCTTATCCAGGGCATTTTCATCTACCTAGGGCATTTTCTAGGAACCATTCATCACTCTTCTGCATACCTGTTCCTAGAAATCGTCCTACGACGATGCTTCGGTAGGGTGGTTGTTAGAAAATTAGGGTGACGTCTTTGCGTAGCTCACTTCCAGAAGCCATTTCGTCCTGAGTGTTTAACCTCCTAGTCTACTGGAGGACAGACAAGAAACAACTTCAGGCGAGAAAGTTTGTCGTCGTTTCTCGTGCCTTTTGACAATAAAGCTCCCCCGGTCAAGCTTCACGCCGTCATGGCCACGTCAGCAGCGAATACTGTCCAAGTAGGCGCACGTTGCACACTGCCAGCGTCGCACAATCAGACAGTGTCGCACAGTAGTAAGCGAGTGCTGGCGACGATCGCGAGAGCTACCAGGCAGCCACCCCAGGTTACCACCGCATCTTCTCGACAGCGTAGCCGGCGGTCCGAAGGCCGATTCGGCTCTTCTTCTGTATTGTCGGGAAATAATAGCGGAAGGCTCGCCGTTGCGGGGTCCGATGGCTCCGTTTCCCAGCAGTCCAAAGTTACACTACCGAGGATTAAGCTTATATCAAGGACTCCAGGCCAGCCCGCGTCGCGGCGGCTGTCCGTGCGAGCCTCGGCAGTTTCGAGGGACGGCGGCTCTCGCGAGGTGTGGGAGCTGCCGCCGTCGTGGAGCGACTTTCCCATTGGTGAGTCTAGCGGGCGACCGTAATCATTGATAATAAAGAATAACTATCGAACCCAAAATTATCACTGTCAAATGAATTGTCATCATAATCTCTAAATTGACGTTAGCTTTACAGGATAATCAGATGTAATGGATTAACACTACGCCATACAATCCGCACAGTTTCGGGTGTGGCAACAAAATTCGCGATCGAGCGCCCTCTTGCCGCCATTCTGCGCGCCAACAGCTTCCCCCTCCCCTCAGCTTCCCCTTTTCCCGATGGTCCTTCGCCTTCTCCCCTTCGCCGTTCCTCTTTCCCCCCTAGCCGTATAGTCCGCACAATTGCGGGTGCGTTGGTAATGTTCCCAATAGAGGCGCGCGCTCGCCGCCACGGCGCGCCCCGACTGCTTCCCCGTGCCCTTCCCGTTTTCCCGTTTTCCCCCTTTCCCCCTCACGCCGTGCAGTGCGCACAATTGCGGGCGTGGCGGTGCTTTTCGCGATAGAGCGCGCGCTCGCCGCCAGTGTGCGCGCCTACAGCTTCCCCGTTCCCGCGCCCGTGCTGATGCTCGCGGGCATCGGCGCGCTTATGGCGACGGGGCTGAAAGAGGCGGAGTTGGGTGAGTGAGTGTTGGGGAAGAGGGGAGAGGGGGGTGGGAAGTTGGGGGAGTGAGCGTAGAGGGGGATGGGGAGTAGAGGGGAGAGGGGGGGGATTTGGCGCGCTAATGGCGACCGGGCTGAAAGTGGCGGAGATGGGTGAGTGAGTGGGGGAAGTGAGGGAAACGAAAAAAGGGGAGTAGCGGCGCGAGCACTCAAATGTGCACTCCCTCACTCCCCCACTCCCCCACTCCCCCACTCCCCCACTCCTCCACTCCCTCCTCCCATTTCTTCCTCCTCCGTTCCCGTTTCATGATTCATCGCCACGTGGCAGTGTACGATTGGTGCTACCCAGCCATCTCGTTCTTCGACCAATGGATGCCACTCTTCTTCGTCCCCTCCGTGGTGAGCCGTTATGCCCTTCCTTCATCCATTTACCACCATTCCCGACCCTTCCCCTCCTTCACCCCACCTTCCTTCCAACTCCCCCTCCTCCTCCACACTCTCCCGTACCCAGCCCCTGAACTTCTTGCAAATGTGTTTTACACCTTCCATGCCCTCTCGCTTTCCACTCTCCCTGCCATCATATACACCTCGTTGCTTAGAACAGTTATAGTTCTTCTTAGCTTCCTCTCCAGTGTGCTCCTTGCCCCCACCTTCTTAGCTTCCTCTTTCACTAGTAGCCTGGTGGAGGGGAGCAGGGGGAGCGGACCTACCCCCTCACAGCAACCAACCTTTCCCTTCGCTTGCTCTTCTCTGCCGTTCCCCTCCCCCTCCAGGCATCAATCGCTCTCGCCCCTCTACCCACCGGCCTCGCCCTGACCAAGTCCATCGCCCTTCTCCTCTCCTCCTACCTCCTCACTCTCTTCCTCTCCGCCCTCGTAGCGCGCTCTATAGGCCAGCTACTCGACTCATGGGGCTCTTTCACTAGCAGCCTGGCGGAGGGGAGCAGGGGGAAGGGCGCGGGGAAGGGGGGGAGGCGGAAGCGGGGGCCTTTGGGGGACGGGAGCATGAGCGATGGGGAGAAGGTGGAGCGGATAGGGGACGCTGCGCGCATGTGGGGGAAGCAGGCCGCGCAGAAGGGCGCCAAGGCGCTGGCGCAGGCTGCCATGGGCGCGGGGGAGAGGGACGTGCAGCAGGTGAGGGGGGGCGGCGTGGGGGGATGGGGAATAGGGGGATGTGGGATGGGGGGTTGGGTGCAGGTGCAGGCACACACATGACAGATGGGCGCCAAGGCGCTGGCGCAGGCTGCCATGGGCGCGGGGGAGCGGGACGTGCAGCAGGTGAGGGGGGGAAAGGCCGGGAGATGGGGGATGGGAATGCACACACATGCTTGTGAGCGCACAACTGGCAGACACTACAGGCACAGACAGACATGTACTCTTTCACACAACCGCACTGCAGAAGGGCGCCAAGGCGCTGGCGCAGGCTGCCATGGGCGCGGGGGAGAAAGATGTACAGCAGGAAAGGGGGGAGGGCGCCAAGGCACCGGCGCAGGCTGCCATGGGCGCAGGGGAGAGGGACGTGGCACGGTGAAGAAGGGTCAGCAGGGGAGGGGGAGTGGGAGAAGGGGGAGGATGGAGGGTGGTTGAGGGTGTGTGAACTCACGAACATCCACGCACATACATGCACGCACTCTCTTCCTTGCTGTCCCCTCCCTCTCTCTCTCCCCTCTAGTTTTGAGGCGCCTCAAAACCGCACACATGTACGCACTCTCTTCCTTGCTGTCTGTCCCATCCCTCTCTCTCCCCTCTCACTTTCTTTAATGTCCCCTCCCTCCCTCCCCAGTTGGCGGTGAAAGCAGGCAAGGCACTCCACAAGGAAGCAGACAGCATTAGGCCCGGCCACACACAGGCCATCAACCTTTACCTTCTCTTCCTCACACCTATCCCTGTCTCTCCTCTCCCTCTCTCGCCCATCTGGCCCCCGGTTGACTGCGAAAGCAGCCAAGGCACTAGACAAGGTAACAGACAGCATAAAAGCCCCGGCCAGACAAAAGCTCCCATCCTTCTCATCCGCCGCTGTCTATCCCTCCCTCTCTCCCTTGCTCTCCCATTCCTCTCTCGCTCCTCGCCCTGTTTTCCCTCGCTCCAGCTGGCAATTAAAGTCGCGACAGCGCTCGACAAGGTAGCAGACAGCATCAAAACGCCAGTCAGACACAAGCCCTCAGCCTTCTCCCTTCTCTTCCTCACCCTGTCCCTGTCAACCCCCTCCCTCCCTCCCGCCTCCAGTTGGCAATAAAAGCCGCGAAAGCGCTCGACAAAGTGGCGGACAGCATCGAAACGCCTGTCAGGCAAAAGCTTTCAGCTTTTTCCCCTCTTGCCCTTGCCCCTGTCTGTCCCTGTCTTCCGCCTCCCTATCTCGCCCATCACTCCCAGTTGGCAATCAAAGCCGCAAAAGCGCTTGACAAGGTAGCGGACAGCATCAAAACGCCAGCCAGACAAAAGCTGCCAGCCTCCCCACTCGCTGTCCCTGTCCCTGCCCTCTCGCCCCTCTCCCTCCTTCCCTCCCTCGCTCAGCTCGCTGTGAAAGCAGCCAAGGCACTCGACAAGGTGGCGGACAGCATCAAAACGCCTGCCAGACAAAAGCTGCCAGCCTTCTAGCTTCTCTTCCTCGTCCCTATCCCTATCTCCCCCCTCCCTCCCTCCCGCCCCCAGTTGGCAATTAAAGCCGCGAAAGCGCTCGACAAGGTGGCGGACAGCATCAAGACGCCAGTCAGACAAAAGCTGCCAGCCTCTCCACTTTCCGTCCCTGTCCCTGTCCATGATTCGCCTTGCTCTCTCGCCCCTCTCTCCCTCTCTCAGTTGGCAATTAAAGCCGCGAAAGCGCTCGACAAGGTGGCAGACAGCATCAAGACGCCAGCCAGACAAAAGCTGCCGCCCCTGCCCCTCTCCTCCGCCAAGTACCTCTACCTCGCTGCGGCCCTCATGCTCTCTCCTGCACTCCTCACCCCCGTGCCCACGGCCCAAATGGTGAGTTGTCCAACTGCCCTCGTGGTGAGTCCAAATGCATCTCACAAGCTGTCAGCCTCCCCACTCTCTCATCTCCCTGCCCCTCTCCTCTGCCAAGTACCTTTACCTCGCTGCTGCGCTCATGCTCTCTCCCGCCCTCCTCACTCCGCCCACAGGGCCACACCTCTCCATGTCCCCCCCTCTCCTCCGCCTCAGGGCCCATGGCGAGTTGTCCACCGCCTACCTATAGGGAACTTAGAAGTTCACATATGTGGGAGGGAGTCACTCTTGAAATTTCTTTTGAGGCGCCTCAAAAATCACTCTTTTTGAGGCGCCTCAAAATTCACACATGTGGGAGGGAGTCACTCTTGAAATTTCTCAAATGTGACCCTTAAACCTCGCTTGCATGCTGCCCCCTACATGGTAGCCCAGTCGCCTGGGGGAGGAAAAGAAAGCATTCCCAGGTATGTGCTCTTCCTGGGGCAGTTCAAGAACCAAGGTTCCTCCTCCACTTCTCTGGAATTCTTCCCTCCCTCTCTCTATTACCCAAAGTATGAGTTTTCAATCCTCTCCACTTTCCCCTCCCCCTTCCCCCCTTCCCCCCTTCCCCCCTTCCCCCCTCGCCCTCCCTCCTTCCCAACTGTACCCCCCATTCCCCCGTTTCCCCCGCCCCTCCCCGCCCTCTCCCCTTCCTTCCCCCTCCTCGCCCTCCCCCTTTGCAGGTGGCCCCCGGCCTTCTGCTCCTCTCCATCGCTGTTTTCCAATCTGCTAAAACGTGAGTAGTACTTCCCACCTTCCGCCTCAGTCCTTTCTTCTGTTTTCGCATCCCTCCTTTCCTCACCCCCTCGCGCTCCCCACCCACCTTCCTCCTCAGTCGTTTGAATCGCGAGTAACACTTCCTCCCTCTACCCCTCGCCTTCCTCCTTCCTCCTTCACTCTCCGCTCCACGATCCCAATCCCCCTTCCCTCCTAGTGCCAAGGTATTGCTCCTATGCCCTTCTTCCTCTCCTCTTCTATTCCTGATCCCCCTTCCCTCTCTCTCACTCTTCTCTCCCCACTCCCCCCTATCCCTCGTTCCACCTCTGTTAGCCATCCTACGCCCTGATTTCTCTCCTCATTTTCGCCATCCTTCCCTCTCCTGTCCTCCACCATTCCGTCATGCCCCACTCCTCACCCCCTCCCACATCTACCCTCCCCTCCCCCTCCTCTCCCCCATCCACCCTCTCCCCACCCTCCTCTCCCCCATCCACGTCCCATCCCCCTCCCCCATTCACCCTTCCCCCCCTCCCTCCAGTCTACCTGCCAACGTGCGTTCTCTGCTGGTCCCCACAGTAGCAGCAGGGGGAGTGATGACATCGCTCATGGCCATGTACGGCTCTGCTTCCTATGCCCTACTTCCTCCTCCCCACACACCCCCCACTTTCTTCCCCCCAGCCTGCCTGCCAACGTGCGTTCTCTGCTAGTTCCCACGGTGGCAGCAGGTGGAGTCATGACGTCGCTCATGGCCATGTATGGATTCTACACTCTCAACAACTGGCAGGCTGGCATCCGACTGTACTCACAGGGCGCAGGTGAGACACTGGGGCTTGGGGCGTGGGCCGGGCGTTGGGCATGGGTGCGGCATGGGCGTGGGTTGGGGAGGGCATGTGGCTGGGGGCAGCAGGTGGAGTGATGACGTTTCTCATGGTCATATGTGGCTCGGATGCTCTCAACAACTGGCAGGGGGGCATTCACCTCTACTCGCAAGGGGCAGGTGTGTCACTTCTATTGCCATGCGGCTCGTATAGGGGGAAAGCAATGGAACTATGCTGCTGTCTATCTCCCTCATGGCCATGTGTGTCTCTTACGCACTCATGGCCATGTGTGTCTCTTACAACTGGCAGGTGGGCATTCGCCTCTACTTGCTTTGGGTTGGGAAGAGAGACCTCCCCGTCCCTTCTTCGTCCCTTATTCCCTGTACCCTCTTCTTTCGGCCTTTGCCCTTTCCTGTTCACCGCACCACCTCTTCTCGCTCCCAACTTTTTCTCCTTTTCCCCCTCCTCTCGTCCCTGCGCCCCTCTGCTCACACAGGTGCATTTCTCGTGGCTCTGATCGAACCTGCCGTGGGCGTTGGGCTTTCCTGTTCTCCTTTCCCCATCTTCTCGTTCCCTTCCCACCCTCTTCTCTTCTCCCATCCACCCCACCCTCTACCCCCTCCCCTCTGCTCACACAGGTGCATTTCTTGTGGCTCTGATCGGACCTGCAGTGGGGGCGTTGGGCTTTAAGGTGAGTACCACAGTGTTCTATGTTTTAAGCATTTTTGAGACGTCTCAAAACGAGTACCACAGTGTACTATGTTTTATGCATTCTTATCGTTGTGGTAGCGTGATTAATTGACTTTAATCCGTATTCCAAGCTTAAGGTGTGTGCTGCTGGTTGCTCAAGAAAGGTACTCGCTTCACCTTTTTTGGTTCTCCCTGTGCTTCCTTCATTTCTCTCCCCCTATCCTCACAGGTATTCACAGAAAAGTCTCTTCTCAAGAGATACGCGCTCGACATTGCTGCCACGTGTGCAATCATGGTGCCAATGTGAGTGTGCCACGTCATGGTGCCAGTGTGACTTCGCCGCATTACGGTGACAGAGAGAGTGCGCTTATTGACATGTTATTGTCAAATGTTCGAACGTTGCAATGAAGATCCTTCAAACAGATCTTGGCCGCTCTGAGCAAGGTTTTCTCATCTCAAGGAAGTCCCTCAGAAGGGAACGTTCCTTGGAGGGACTTTTGTTTTTTCTTCAACATAGCATCCCCCGACTTGCCACTTCTCTCTCAATCCATTCTACTCCCTCTCCTGCCCCTCTTCCTTTTTTCTCTTCTCCTCTCCTCCGCCTCCCCATTTTCCTTCCCCACCCCCATCACAGTCAGTTCATGGTCACAGCGCTGCTAGGCAGGCTGCTCATGGCGCCCCCCATCGTCATCAACTCCCTCATCCCCTCACACGTACGTGCATGCATGTATGCCCTCTTGTGTTTGCTGCCTGTGTGACCACACGTGCATCTGCGTCCCCCTGTGCCCTCAACCCCTGACTCATGGCGCCCCCCATCGTAATCAACTCGCTCATCCCCTCACACGTACGTGCGTGCGTGTCCGCGCTTGTGTGCTTGCTACCTGTATACTCTCGTGTGTGTGGGTGTGCGCGGTGCACCCTGTGTGCCATGGCGCCCCCCATCGTCATCAACTCTCTCATCCCCTCACACGTGCGTGCCGTGCTGTGCCGTGCCGTGCCCTCCTGTCCTTCCTGCCTCTGTGCGCTCACACATGCATTCATGTGTGCATTGTGTACCCGTTGGTCATAATGTTTATAAATCTGTAGAGAATCGGCCTCAAAAACTGCTTGTAACCCACCACAGAGGCCGATTTTAGGCGTCATGTGTGAGGGTCCTCTCCACATGGGACCCTCACACGTGGGGCCGATTCTAGGCACACAGTTCTTGCTGCTTCACAGGGTGAAGCATGCGTGCTTGAGATGAGACTCACCTTGCTGCCTCTTTCTAATGCACTCTCCCATTTTGTTCCCCTTTTTTTCCTTTCGCTCCCCCTTTTTTCTCCTTTCTTCCGTTTTTCCTCCCCTCTTCCCCTTTTCCTCGCCTTTTCCCTCCCACCTCTCCAGACCACCCTCGGTCCAGCCATTGAGATGGTGCCGCTGCTCTCTGCCAGCACAGATTAAACCACACCGCACTAGCTTTTTTTCTTCTTCCCCCCCCCTCTACCATGCCAGACCACCCTGGGTCTAGCCATTGAGATGGTGCCGCTGCTTTCTGCCAGCACGGGCCTCATGGTGGCGGGTGTGAATATAGTTTCCCTTGACCCTTACCATTTCCTTTCCCCTCTCCCAATTCCTGCCACTCTTACCCCTTTCCCTCCTCTCCTTCAGACCACCCTGGGTCTAGCCATTGAGATGGTGCCTCTCCTCTCTGCCAGCACAGGCCTAGTGGTGGCGGGTGTGACTATAGCGGGCACCACCGGTATTAGCACGGCCAGAACCCTTCTTGATCAGTGGAAGGTACAAAAGGGGGGAGGGGAGGGAGAGAGAGAAGGGAAGGAAGGAGGTCGAGAGGGAGGGTGGGGGAGGTGGTGTTTGAGATACAGGTGGGTGTGACTGTAGCGGGCACCCCGATATTAGCACAGCCAGAACTCTCCTTGATCAGCAGAATGGAAGGTACGATCTGATGGTGATTGAGTGGACTGAGGGGGTCGTCGTTCGGTTTACAGTGGGTAATGCAAGGGGGTGACTATAGCAGGGGCCACCGGCATAAGCACAGGGTGGAGGTGACCATAGTGGGTATGTGTGTGCGCATGAGTTCGTGTGCTTGCATACGTGCGTTGTGTGCGTTAACGATTCTTCTGCCCCTCGCTCTTCCGCTCCTTCTCCTTCCTTCCCGTCCCTTCAACACCCTCCCACCACAACTCACACACACAACACTTACTTTCTCCTCCCATCATTCACAGGGGATGGCAATGGGCATAGCCTCAAACTCCCTCTTCTCCTCCTTCGTCCACTTTCTTTCCCCCGATGATGCAGGTTGTTTTTGAGAATTATCAAAAACTCCCTCTTTTCCCCCTTCGTCCACTCTCTTTTCCCCACCCCCACTCCCCCCCGCACCCACCAGGTGCAGGACGCCATTCACAGAGGTCTGGCAGTGGGCATTGCCTCGCACTCCCTCGGCACCTCTGCTCTGGTAGGCATCTCAAATAGCATACCCACCTGCTCTGCTCTGGTTTGTGGCCTCACACACTTGCCTACCTGACTGCTTCGGATGCGCCCTTGTCCCTCTCATGGTCTCCACCCAGTTTCGCATTCTCCAAAAGGAGTCATTATTGTTTTTTCGTCTGATGTTTGCCCATTACCATTGTGCCGTTTCTCCTGTTTTCAGGTTGCTGAGGAGCCTCGCTCTGCTGCAGGTACGACTGGTGCAGGTGTTGACTTGTGGAGGTGTTGACTGGTGGAGGTGTTGACTGGTGGAGGTGTTGGGTGGCGCAAGTATGGTCTGGTGGAAGGTGTTGACTGGGGCAGGTATTGACTGGTGCAGGCAATTCTGTTTCAGGTTGCTGAGGAGCCACGCTCTGCTGCAGGTATGATTGGTGCAGGTGTTGACTGGAGCAGCAGTCATGGGGTAGGTGTGCAGGTGGTATCTGGCACAGGCGTTGACTGGTGCAGGTATGTGATAGACCTGCAACTATTTCTGTAATGTGTTCTGTGGTGTATGCAATCAATGGCTATGCCATGCTCATTGTTATCCCTCATCACTATCCCCATGACCCTTTGAATCGACTTGACTTTTGAGTCGATTCAAAAGTCACCTTGTTTGCACTGCCCTTTACCCATCTTCCTCTGTATCCCTCCCTACTCCTCCCCCCATCCCCCTTTCCCCATCCAGTGTCGGGCCTGGCCTTTGCTCTCAAGGGCACGCTCAGCGTCATCCTCATCTCCGTACCTGCCTTCCTGTTTGCATTCCTTTCCCTACTCCTCCCATCCCCCACACCCCAACCAGTGTCGGGCCTGGCCTTTGCTCTCAAGGGCACAGTCAGCGTCATCCTCATCTCCATCCCTGCCTTACTGTTTGCATCCCTTTCCCTACTCCCCCCATCCCCCTTTCCCCATCCAGTGTCGGGCCTGGCCTTTGCTCTCAAGGGCACGCTCAGCGTCATCCTCATCTCCATACCTGCCTTCCGAATTGCCCTGCTCCAATTGGCCGGCACTGCCTGACTTGCATGAGTACAGTGCCATCTCATTATTTTTCAGTTATGGCTTTATTTTGCTTCTTCAAATATCGAAATGTATTTTATGTAGAGTGAATTTGAAAAAGACACATGCACTTACCAGATTATAGAAATAGTACAGTGTTTCTTTTGGTTGAACCAAAAGCCAATTAGCAAAACTTTCTAGTCAAATCATCAACTCGTAGTACAAGCATGTAAAGGGTAGCTAATAAGCATAAAATAGTATGTAAGAAGTCTACCAAGCTCGTTGAGGAAGCTTGGTGCTTGTAAGGGGTATAATCAGCAAAGACGAGGGTGTACCTGCATCTAGTATACTGAATATATTACCTGTTTCTGCCAGTGCAGCGCTAGCAACTGCTCATGCTACTATGACGGGCCCGGTGTTGCTGCAGCCGCAGCGGCAGCAGGTGGAGTGGCAGGAGCAGCAGCTGGGGTGGCTGTGGCAGCAGGAGGTGCTGTAGCAGGCAGGACTGAAGCAACGGCTGTAGCAGGCAGAGCACAAGGGACAGCTGTAGCAGCAGCAGCAGGTGTGGCTGTATCAGGGCTAGCAGAACTTCTGGCTGTAGCAGGATGAGCAGGAGGTATGGATGTAGCAGGGCCAGTAGACAGCACGGCTGTAGCAGGGCCGGCAGGAGTTACGGCTGTAGCAGGGCCGGCAGGAGTTACGGCAGGGCCGGCAGGAGTTACGGCTGTAGCAGGGCCGGCAGGAGGTACTGCTGTAGCAGGGCCGGCAGGAGGTACGGCCGTAGCAGGGCCGGCAGGAGTTACGGCAGGGCCGGCAGGAGTTACGGCTGTAGCAGGGCCGGCAGGAGGTACTGCTGTAGCAGGGCCGGCAGGAGGTACGGCTGTAGCAGGGCCGGCAGGAGTTACGGCTGTAGCAGGGCCGGCAGGAGTTACGGCTGTAGCAGAAGCAGCAGGAGGTACGGCCATTGCAGTTAAGTTGCTGGGAGCAGCAAGACTCCCTGTAGCCGCGGCTGCTACAGTCACAGTTGCTGTACCGCCAGTTACAACAGCAGCAGCGGCTACACCCGTAGCACCACCGGTTACATCTGTAGCATTCATCACAGGTGTAGAACCAGCAGTCACGGTTGCAGAACAAGGCAGGGACGTAACACCAGGCAGGGTTGCAGTACTGGGCACAGTAGTAGCAGCACCAGGCACATTCGTACCACCTGCCATAATTGCCGCGTGCATTACAGGTGTAGACGGACCATGCCTAGGTGCCACCCTGGGCGGACTTCGCAACATCAAGGGTAATTTACCCGCGTTTGGAGCCACCTCTGCACCAGGGCTCGCCCTGGGCGGGCTCACCAATATTCCGGGTGATTTACCCTTTGGTGTAGTGCTGGTTGGGCTTGTAGCACCGGAAAGCGCACTGGGGCTGGGAAGAAGGGGAATGGTAGCATTCCGCTTGGGACTGGGAGCAAGGGGAATGCTACTGGCAGTGAGCCTAGGGCTGGGAGCTCGAGGCAGCCTGAGAAGGTTGGGAACCCTGCTGGGACTGACAACAGCTGGGGATGCACCAGCAGCAGTAGTGGCAGCAGTAGCAGCAGTGCCATGAGGTGCGGTGCTGTGAGGTGCGGTGCTGTGAGGTACGGTGCTGTGAGGTGCGGTGCTGCGGGGTACAGTGGTAAGCAAAGGAAGAAGCCACCAAGGCAGGTGGTTGCCGATTAGGCAGCAGCAGCTGTTGCTGTGGTGGTTGCTGCTGCTGCTGCTGCTGTTGCTGCTGGTGCTGCTGCTGCTGTTGCTGTTGCTGAAACTGCTGGTGCGGTAGTGGTGGGTGCTGGTGCGGTGGTGGTGGGTGCTGGTGCGGTGGTGGTGGGTGCTGGTGCTGCGGTGGTGGGTGCTGTGGCTGTCTCGGCACTAAGAGAGGAGGAATCTTCAGCAGCGGTTGCTCAGAACATCTCAGTTGACCTGGTTGACTCAGTTGACTGGGTTGATTGGGTTGATTGGGTTGAGTGGGTTGACTGGTTTGACTCGATTGTATGGGTTGACTGAAATGGCTTGGTTGACTAGGTTGAGTGAAATGGCTCGGTTGACCGGGTTGACTGGGTGAATCAGCAACCCTAGGAGACTGCAGCAATGATGCCAGAGACTGCGACAGCTGACCTGTCACACCCCCCTGCTGATCTGTCAAGGGCGCCTGCTGACCTGTCCAGTTCCTAGGCTGATCTGTCACAAGGGGCACTGCTGGGGGGTTCGAGGCAGGGTTGGTATATGTGGGGTTGGAGTGTGGTTGGGTTGTGTTTGGTGAGGTGGTGTGTGGTTGGGTTGTGTATTGGGGAGTTTTGGGCTGTTGTTGTGTGGAAGACTGCAGGAAAAGCTGCTGCTTCTGCTGCTGCTGAGAGGAAGTCTGGAAGATAGACTGTGGCTGCTGCTGATGCGCCTGTTGCTGCTGATAATAATATTTCTGTTGCTGCTGCTGCGGCTGCTGCGGCTGCTGCTGGTGCTGCTGATGCGTCTGTTGCTGCTGGTAGTAATAATTCTGTTGCTGCTGATGCGGCTGCTGCTGCTGCTGATGGGGAGGAGGAGCAGGAGGGGGGTGGTTAGAAGGAGGATGAGTAACGGGAGGAGGAAGAGGAGGATTAGCAGGAGCAGGAGGAGGAGGAGGGGGCAGTACCGGTGTGGGTGGAAGACTGTAGCTGTGTGCCTGGTTTGCTGGGTAGTTTTGCTGGGTGACTGAATGTGTGTGCTGCTGTTGCTGTTGCTGCTGCTGCTGTTGGTTGCTTGCCTGACTGACTTGCTGTTGCTGCTGATGTTGGTTGCTTGCCTGACTGACTTGCTGTTGCTGCTGCTGTTGGTTGATTTCCTGACTGACTTGCTGCTGCTGCAATTGGTTGCTTGCCTGACTGACTTGCTGTTGCTGCTGCTGTTGGCTGTGTGGCTGCTGGTTTGCTAGGTGTTGCTGCTGGGTGTGTGAGTGTGGGAATGGCTGATTGGCAGGAATAAGCACATAACCTTGCTGGTGGGGAGATTGGGGAGTGTAGTATTGTGGCTGGCACAGCTGCTGTTGCTGTTGCTGTTGCTGTTGCTGTTGCTGATGGTGGTGTTGGTACTGCGGTTGCTGCTGCTGCTGCTGCTGCTGCTGCAGTTGCTGCTGCTGCTGCTGCTGCTGTTGCAGCGGTTGCTGTTGCTGTTGCTGCTGTTGCTGCGGTTGCTGGTGCTGCTGCTGCACATAAAACTGCTGCTGCTGCTGCTGCAGCTGCTGCAGCGAGGAGCACGCAGCAGCAACAGTGGCAAGAGGATCAGGCGGAGCAGAAGAAGCAGCAGGCGGAGCGAACGATGGGGCCAGCGGGGCCAAAGGGGGAGGAGCGGGAGGAGAAGCGAGAGAAGGGTGAGCAGCAGGAGGAAGCAGGGCAGCAGGAGCTAGGGCAGGGGTTGCAGGAAACTGAGAAGCATCGGCAGCACCGGCAGCAGGAGGAGGCAGGGCAGTAGTAGCCTGGAAACCACCAGCAGCACTAGGAGCATCAAAAGCAGAACCAGCGGCACCAGCAGGACCACTAGCACATGCACCAACAGCAGCAGCATCAGCAGCATCAGCAGCATCAGCAGCAGCAGCAGCGTTGCACATCCAGGGCATGAGCATGTTGATTCTTTCCTGGATCTGCGCCTGCATCGTCTCTATCTCCAGCTTCAGCGCTGCCTTCTCCTGCCGCAGCTCCGACTTCTCACTGCCCAGCTGATGGGTTGAGGGCACAGGGGGAGAGGAGAGGCACATTGGGGGAGGTGAGGAGACAGGAAGCACATGGCACATGAGCCCCTCTCTCCTGCAGCTGGGCCAGCATCGTCTCTATCTCCAGCTTCAGCGCTGCCTTCTCCTGCCGCAGCTCCGACTTCTCACTGCCCAGCTGGAGGGTTGAGGGCACAGGGGGAGAGGAGAGGCACATTGGGGGAGGTGAGGAGACAGGAAGCACATGGCACATGAGCCCCTCTCTCCTGCAGCTGGGCCTGCACCGTCTCTATCTCCAGCTTCAGCGCTGCCTTCTCCTGCCTCAGCTCCGACTTCTCACTGCCCAGCTGCGGGGGAAAGGGGTGCAATATGGGGAGAATGGGTAGGGCCATGGGGAGAGAAAAGGGGGAGCACATACATGGCACAGGTTTTGCTCCTGCAGCTGTACTGCACATACTACCGTGTATCACCGTGTCGTACTGCACTGTATCGCACTGCACCCACCCACCTCTTTGGACTGACTCGTCCAACAGTGCAGAACGGTCGGAGCGTAATCGGCACAAGCTCAGGCTGAGCTGTCACAACATCACCAAGCCATCGGCCAGAACGGTGTGTGCTGCACCACATGGTACCGCCCACCACTGTGCCGCACTCCATTGTACCGCTGCGTACCGCACTGCACCCACCTCTTTGGATTCGTCTAGGAGAGCAGAGTGGTCGAAGCGCAAACGACACACGTTGAGCCGTAACTGTCGGAGCATCACCAAGCCATCGCCCAGAATGGTGTGTGCTGCACCGCATGATACTGCTCACCACTGTGCCGCACCGCACCCACCTCTTTGGACTCGTCCAGCAAAGCAGAGTGGTCCGAACGCAGGCGACACACGTTGAGCCTGAGCTGTCGCAGCATCACCAAGCCATCGCCCAGAATGGTCGCCTTGTCGTTCTTCGGTCTCTCGGGGTCTGCTCATGGCAATGCAACATAATACAATGGAACGGGGGGAAGGGGAGGGGGAAGGTTAAGGGAAGGGGAGCATCAGTCGGAGCTGTCGCAGCATCACCAAGCCATCGCCCAGAATGGCCGCCTTGTCATTCTTCGGCCGCTCAGGGTCTGCTCATGCATGTGCGCATATCATTGGAGTGTGCATGTCAAGTCATGTCATGTCATGCCATGCCGTGCTATGCCGTGCCATGCAATGTATCATTATTATTATTATTTTTCCGCAGTCCGACGTATTTTCGCAGGGAATTATGGGCATGATGGGGGAGGGGGCAAGAGACGAAGGTAATAATGGGATTATGGCGGAAGGGGAACTGGTGAGGGGGGAAGGGGGACAGAAAAAGGGGGAAGGGAACCTGGAAAGAGGGGGACGGACAAAAAGCGAGAATCTATATGGGAAGGTCGGGAAGGGGAAGAGAGCGGGGAAGGGGAAAGCGAAAGCGGGGTAGGGAAAATGGGTGGCACAGTTTCGCACTGAGTGGACTTTTGGCTCCAACTCAAGAGAACTCTAAAATTGTCTACGTGAAAGAAGTGTATTTTGAGTCGACTCAAAACTACACTCGTTTCGCATGAGCGGTTTCTGCGAACTGAAACGGAAACACGGAAGTTGACTTAGGGCGTATCTTGGGTTTGGGTCATGAGCACTGTTCCGGGCATGCGCTAATTGCGGATGCCCAGAACAACACTCGACACCATCTTCGAGTCAATGGCCCCATGCGACAAATTGTTTGGCGCGCAGAACTCCGCGCCAGAAAAAAAAGTGGTAACACACGTCGCGTCCAATTGGGACGAATTGTACATGCACAAACACGAACAACCCCTGGCCGTGAGGCCGACTGAAGCCTCCCACGCCACCGTCAAAATTCCCGGCGGGAAGGGTCACACTCAGATCTGCGCGGTTCCAACACCCATCTCAACCCATCTCCCCAACAGCAGATTCCCCACGCTAGGGTTTCAGCATTGACGGGCGTGCACCTCTAGCGAACGGCAGCATACAGAGGGGTTGATTTACATGGGTCGCACTGCACTGTGATTGGTGGAGGTTACATTTTGTTTGACGGTCGCATGCAATTTTGAGAATGACCCGAGGTTCGAATCGCGCGCGCTTTGGGGAGGGGGTTTGGGTCATGCGCTATTTGCGGATGCCCTGTACAGTAGTATGAACAGTGCTCATGACCCGAACCCAAGATACGCCCTTATGAATCGACTTATCACACACGTTTCGCACTGAGTCAACTATTGAGTTGACTCAAAAAGAACTTAGGCGGTTTCTTCGAACTGGAACGAGAAGACGGAAAGGGAAACCGAGACGCGCTGAGCACGCAAGAGAGCTGACGGGGAGGCGCATGGAAAGGGAAATGGGAAAGTGCCGTTTCGGAGGTTTTTTTTTCTTTCCAGCAGAAAGGAGGGACGCACGCAGCACGCTCAATGAAGCAGAAAGGGAAGAGGGTGGAGGGATGCACGCTCCACGCTCGCGATCTCCGCGAACTGGTCCAACCGGAAGAGGGGAGTCGTTGAGGCGCAAGGAAGGGGGAAAGGCGGGAAAGCGGAAGCGATAAGGCGGAAACGGGAAGCGAGACGCGAGCTCCGCGAACTGGTCGTTCGGCGGTCGCGAGGGGGTAGGGGAAGGGGAAAGACGCGGAAGGGGAAAGGCGCGGAAGAAAGAAACGCGCGGAAGCAGAAAGGCGCGAAAGCGGAAAGGGGGGAGGCGCGCACTCCGGACGGTCGCGAGCTCCGCGAACTGATCGTCGAGGCTCGTGGGGAGGGTGGAAGGGGGGGGAAAGGGAAACGAGGAGGCGGGAAGGGGAAAGCGGAAGACGGAAAGGGGAAGCGGGGCGCACTCAGCACGGTCGCGAGCTCCGTGAACTGGTCGTTGAGGCGGTCGCGCCGCAGCTTCTCGCGGTCCGCCTTGTGCACCTTGCGCATACTCGTCATAGACGTCCCCGTTAGTGACGTTAAACCATGGTGGATTTTGCCGGCGGCTGCGCCGCCATTTCCGCCTAAACCAGCTCCCGCCGCCGCCGCCGCTGCCGCCGCCTCCGCGGAAGCTGCAGCCAGCCCTCCGCCGCCGCGTTCCGCCGCGCGCGGCGCTGCTGATCTCCCCGTCCCGCCGTTTCCCTCCGCGGAGATCCCCGCCGATTCGGACTTCGAGTCGCGACTCGGGTAACGCGCCGCGGTTGGGCCCGTCTGTCCCCAGAGCGCGCTGGCGAAATCGCGCGTTGCCTCCGGCGGCGCTCCTGGCGGCCCAGCAGTAAACACGCCGCTTTCACCGTGAAGCCAGCCGCTGATTGCGCCGTCGCGGAAATCGATCCGTGAGGACTCTTTCTCTCCGTAACTGCCGGCTCCGCCTGCTGGGCCCATTAGGTTCAGCGCGACACTCGGGGGCGAAAGCGGCGGTGAATGCGGCGCCTCCACTGCGCCGTCCACGCGGGGTCTCTTCCCTCCTCCTCCTCCTCCGCCACCGCCGCCGCCGCCGCCGCCGCCGCCGATCGAGCAGAGGCCGTCGGATATTCCATACGAGCTGCGATCAACAGAGCCGGAGCCGCCGGTGGCGCCGGAAACGCCGCTAGTTGCGACCGCGTCAACAGCGCTGGCGTCCTTACTACCGGCGTAAGCACTACTATAGTAGTAGCAGCCATGGCCGCCACCACCACTTTCGGCGCCGCCACTTCCGCCGCCAATTTCGCCGCACCCGGCGTCGGCCGAAGTCGGACCCATGAACTCCACGAGCTAAAACCGTCAGATTGGCAGATCTTTGCCAATCGCCTACAAGCGCGTACGTATGTCACACGGTGGGCCAGTAACCGCCCAGAATCTAACCGAGAATCCGGGCAGGAAAAACCGCCACGTGGCGGAAAACGGAGCCGCCGCGTGTGGAAAATAGTAATAATAAGAATAAATAAGTAAAGCTGAAATTGGTTTCTTTGACAGACGCAGCTTCGTACTACCGTGACGGTAATAAAGCCATATTTGGTCCCAAGGTCCCGAAGCGCCTTTCGAAAGGTATCGTTGCTTCCTACCTCCGCCACCTACGAAGTGCTATTATGGGTAACAGCGGCGCGCTCTTTTTTTCCTTTTTTTTTTTCGGAGATGATTAGCGGCGCGGCTGTGTCATCTCTTCTTTCGCTGGCGAGAATAACAAGGCTGCGTATTTCCCGGAGACTCTCAGAGAAGCATCAAGAGTCGAGCATTTTGGCGCAGAAGCTGGGCCCTTTGAGACGGAAGAGAACTTCCAACGTCTAGAAACTCTGGGGAGGGAAGGAGGAAAACGAGGGAGAGACGGAAGAAACGCAGGCGTTTAGGCAGAGAGGCCCTCGTCTTGCGTGCCTCTCATCGCGAGCTGTGAACGACAGAACGCAAGACACAGGACATCATGTCGATGGAGGTGTGCAGGAGGAGGAATAGGTAGGGAGTGTCGATGAACGAACAAGATGAGAAGATCAGGTCAGGTCGGACGAGACCGTCGAAAGCGCGACGGGCGCGTGCGCGGACACGACCCACACGCGAGCCCCAGCGCGCCTGCTTCTCGCAGCGGAGCCGCGGAGCCACAGTCGCTGACGCGGGCGCGGGCGCAGCCGCTTCGGCGCAAACAGACTGGCGATTCTGTTGGGCAACAATTTGGCTTGGGCGCACGTGAGGCATATCTGCTCCACGCCATTTCCGCCCGCCCAAATCATACGCGCTTCGTTCGAATCGAACCAATGGCGAGGCCTACGCCAAGCCGGAGAGCTGCCTGCCAGGCCTGGTTGATGGTTCTTACTTGACGAGCCTACGCCGCCTATTACGAAGCGATCAGGACAAAAGAGTTTGTCCACATTCCTCTAGAGCTGCCCAACCGAACCATATCGAACCTTGAATCAGGTCAGAAGAACAAGAGGACGAGGTCACCAAACCAGCCATGGCGCAACAGGCATCAGGCCAGGCAGCACCCAAACCCCGAGGTCGCTGTGGCGAAGTGCGGCGGGATGGTTGGGTTGGGGGGGAAAGGACGGGTACGAGGTGAGAGCGGCGGGGGAGGAGATGCGCAAGAAAGGGGGAGATGGTTGGGGTTGGGGGAGACCAGGTTTGACGAAAGGCCAGGCCGAGGGGATGTGGCAAATTGGTGGGGAGGTGGAGGGGATTTGGGGAGTGAATGGGGAAGGGGAGAGATGGAGGGAAGGGCAGTGAAACAGTTCAGGTGGAGGAGGAGGGACCTTTGATCGGCACGGCACGATCTTTGTACAGCACAGTCGTGAAGGGGAGAAGCGTGTGCGCTTGGCAAGAAGCGACAAGACCGGCCATTGGATAAGCTTTCCTACGGTCCATTAACAATGCAACGTGGTTGGATGATTGAAAACGACGCGCGGGAAGTGGGAATTCGCTGGACTGTGGGCCAGCAGATGGCGGAAGCGAAATCGGGATTGCGGAGGTGGGGGGAATGCGTGGTGGTGGATGAGCTGGCGGGGCAAGGAAAATGGCGGTGGGGGAAAGAGGGGAGAGGGTGGTTCCGTTGCGCTTGGTTGGATCAAGCAGAACCCCGCGCCCCGATACGCGGCGCGGGGAATTGACTTGGGGAGACAGATGGATGAGCGATGCAGAGAGAAATGCCCTGGGTTGGTGGGCCGTGGTTGGTTGTGTACAGTATCGGCGAGTTGGCAGCGGCAGATGCATACAGTACGCAGCTTGGCACATTCTACACACTAAAAACACTTCCGCAATGTGAAGGAAACAGAACGTAGTTACCAAAATTAAATATGAATAATTGTCTCGATGTGCTACATGAAAAAATGGAGTACCCAACCATTGACAGAGGAAATTAGTATCCAGCGCGTATTTTGCAAAGATAATAATAAACTGATTGGAAAAAATGATGCAAATTGGGAATAACTCAACGGAATGGGGTCGATAACGCCGTCAAGCCTCCTTCGACCGTAGATCTGCTGCCTCGGACATGGAATAACACATATGTATAGATGCCCGCCCTTGGGCATAAAAATAACAAGATCAATAAAACTCATTGGGAAACTGGAAGCAACGTGTTAAAGGGTCAACCCTAAAGAATGGACGAATTCTCATGTTTAGGGTCGGTTTTCCTAGCTTATGGTCAGTTTATATAAGGGTTTTAGTTTTCTTTCTTGTTTTCCTTTCAAGGGTAAGTGCGAGATAGTACCTGGTGGTGCCTTCGATTGAAAATTGTGCTGATAACATGAAACACCAGTATATGTAGGTACTTTTTCGAGAATTTGTCGGTTGAGTACGCTTGCTGTTATGAATGAACTTGTCAGAGTGCGCGGATATCGAATAACGAGAATGAGAAATTACAGAATGCCTGAACAATGAAGTAGCGAGGCCTAAATAGGGGAAAACCTAGCTAGGCGGGGATGGTGTGGTAGGGTTGGCTCGCGAAGTGTCGCGATTGGTGCGGAGGCGGCTCGGTGAGGTTGGGATGCGAAATTGTAGGCCGAACCAGTTGGTCGCGTGGCCCTCGGGATGGCCTCGCTATCGAGCGCCTCAGTAAGGATTTGTAAATCCTTACACTCTCCCACCTCCTAAATAAGGCAGCCCTGTACTGAAAAGGGTCACCCAGTAGCGAGGATGCCGTTGATCTTCACTTCAGCTGAATCCGACGGCTGAAATGCCCCAGACAATATTGTTGAAAAGGTTGGAATGTCGGCCGTTGATGTTGTCAGATTTCGATCTGACGGTCGAAGATGAAGTGGCCCAAATGTAATGAAAGTTGGATTGTGGGCCGTAGATGCAGTCAGATGTCTATATGACGAATGAGGATGAGCTGGCCCAAAATGAAGTGGAAGTTGGAATGTGGGCCGTTGATCGAGCAGCAGCGAATCTGACGGTCGAGGCAGATGCGATTTTGGAGGGAACCTGCTGACGCGAATTCAAACGCGATTGAGTAGGGATCGTTGATCGTGAAGCAGCAATCATAGTCGTTCGTCGTAAGTCGTTCGTACCCCTTGAAAAGTCCGTGTAGTTCCCGCGCCGTTGCCCTGCGTAAATTTCGCGCGCGTGTAACCAAACTTCGAAAGTACTGCCACAAAATTGCCGCGCTTTCGCCGTAAAACCGTGAAGTCCTTCGTCAAACTCCGAAATCGTCGCTCGAGAAGTAGCCCCGTAAATCCACAGGTCTAGGTGCAGTTCTCCTCCGAAAATCTCAGACGTGCTATAGCCGCCCACCCGGTCACCATCAGTTTCCTTCGGTTACCCGACCCCAGCATGTGGGTTAAATCGAGAACCGGGGACTGCCCTGGGTCTTCCGAGACCGAATTTCACGGAACCTAGAGGCATCAACGCCGTTGACCCCGTCGTCGAAAGTGCTCCCGTCGATGTCGCTTAACCACGCAAACTCCCACTGGCGCTTTGCGATGTTTCACCTCATCGCTCGTCACCGGCAGGTAAATCCCGAAGCCTCGGCTGCTCCCACGCTCCCTGAAGAATTTCCCGCGGTGTACGTTTAAACACCCGTGGGTCCTAGGTATCAACCGCACTCCAAGAAACGAAGAAACACCCTCAGCTTCAACTCCTTTTTTTTTTTTTTTTTTTTTTTTTTTGTAGAAAGATAACCCCGAAAATCGTGGTTGAGGCTGCAGTCCCGAAGTTATTCTCCGCCGTATAGCCCCGACGTTTCCGCCGTTTTTTCCCTGGTACTCCGATGTTCACCCATCTTCGTACCCGCCGGACTACTTAGCGAATCCCAGGTATCCTTGGCAATGTACCGCTCGCCGCGCCTCCATGTAACGATATCAAACCCTTTCGGGGGTCTACCGAATAGACTCCGAAATTCGCGGTAGATTGGTGCACGGGCTCAACCTATCACTCAAGTGATCTGCTGGATCACCCACAACTTTCCCTCCGTCGTCATATTTTTCGTATTCACCCCCCGACAATTCCGCTTCCCGCCGTTCACCCAGCGTCCGCTTTTGTCGGATGGGGTATCGTCGTTGTTGCCCACGCGAACTCGGCCACGGTGGAGAGGCAAAAACTATCGGAGTCGGGGCAGCCTTAGTTAAAAGGAAACTGTCGCCCAACCGTTTTGCAGCCCGCCGTGCCTATCACGTCACGTAAAATCCACAGCTTCCCGGTCTCAGCTTCGCCGCTGCGCCGTCGATTCGTGTAGACGCCCGGGTCAGGAGAAACCTGTAGACTGCACCATTTCTTCTTCGCAGCTCCCCGACTTTTTCGCGTGCCGTTCACCCAGCCCGCTTTTGTCGGAGTAGAACAGTGCCGCGAGCTCCACTTTTTTTTTTTTGTATTTTTTCTGTACAGCTGTCGAACGGGCACCAATCCCGGTACCTTTAACCAGCGCAGGGTAGGCCACGTGTTCACCCCCGTTATTCGGCCAAGTAGGTTGACTGCATGAGTCAGAACCAGGACTTGGTGGGGATGGTGAGGTTCGGGCGAAGTAGGGCCGCAGAGCGATTCCACCGGCTTTTAATCTGCCCCCGCAACGTTCTTCAACCCCCGCTTAGCCGTTGGGCCGTTTCTTCTCGCGTGTCCCGGCAGCCTGTACCGACCCCTCCGAAATTATCGGGCGGTACCTTGGACACCGTTTAACCGTGGGTTGTCAGCAGCTGTCCCCGAAAACAACATCCTTGGTCAGGGGAAACTGTTCTCGATACTGCCGGCCAGCTTGCAACAACACCAGGCACGCAGCGTCGCACGAGTTCTTTCGAGGTGTACCTGCCCCGATTTCCCTCGTCGCCTGCGTCCCACTCCTCGTAAGT